TCTATACCATGTGAGAATAGTAGAACAGGAATGAAATGACTAAGTGAACGTTTGGTACAAATACAAACCCTAGAGAGCTGTACCCCATATGTGCTACCCCACTATAGCCTACAACAGCTATGTCATATATATCTGACACTTTCTCCCCCCACGTGTACTCAACCCCCTTCCTCAGCAGGTCGGTCAGCGGGGCAGTCAGCTTCGCCATGTCGGGGACGAACCGGCGCACGTAGTTGACGAACCCCCAAAACTCTACAACTCGGTCAAGTTGGTCGGCGCGTGCCATGCTTGAATCGTCGCAATTTTCTTCGGGTCTATTTCCACTCCTGCAGTTGAAATAATGTGTCCCAAAAACTCCAGGCGGTCCTGTAAAAACTCATACTTAGACGCTTTTGTCAGTAGGCGGTTCTCACTCAGTATTTTAAAAACTGCTTTGATGTCCTCTAAGTGATGTGCTCTGTCGGGGCAGTAAATCAGTATGTCGTCCAAGTATACTATGACGCACTTATCTAAGAGCGGGCGGAAAGCTTCGTTCATGGTCATTTGAAAAGTGGCGGGGGCGTTGGTCAGTCCGAAGGGCATGACGATACATTCGAAGGATCCGTAGCGTGTGCGAAATGTGGTCTTAGGGTAGTCGGGCGGATTGACGCGAATCTGGTGGTGACCCCCTCGGAGGTCCATTTTCAAGAAAACCCGGGCTGTGCGTAGTTGATCGATCAGTTCGTCGGCTCGCGGGATGGGGTAACGGGATTTGATGGTAACCCTGTTCAGTGCTCTGTAATCTGTGCACATGCGAAATCCCCCGTCTTTTTTCGGTGTGAACAGTATCGGTGTTGCGAAGGGCGACGAACTAGGGCGAATGAACTCCTTCTCGAGCAGGTAATCGAGCTGCTTCCTCAGTTCGTCCAGTTCGGGTTGGGTCAGACAAAATTGTTGTTGTACTGTCGGCTATGCCCCCGGTTCTAGTTCTATTCTATGGTCGTGCGGTCGCTGAGGTGGCAGTCCCGTCGGTAAGTCGTCCGGGAAGATGTCACTGTACTGCTTCAACAGTGCTGCCAGATCACTCGGTACGTCGGTCAGCAATTCCTGTAAATCCCCTCCTTTGTCTGCTGCCTCGGCTTCCCGAATGTCGAACGCGTACACGTCAGCTCCTGCTGCTATGGCGCGTTTTATCGTGATCGCGCACGCACCGACGAAGACTCAGGCGAGCCCCAACGAGGTAAGGCGATGTTGTTACCGTTCACTCGCACAGTGCAGTCAACCGTCGTCCAGTCGATTCGCGGATTGTGTCGTCGCAGCCAATCACGCCCGAGTAAAGTATCGGTTCCGTCGAGGGTCGTTGCAAGCATTTCTTGGCTAAACATGAAGTTACCCCCGTATCGAATCCGAACCGGGCCTACGCGTTCCCGTATCGCCAGCGGCATGCTGTCTACCAGTCTTGCGTCGATCGCAGATAAACATCTGTCCAGTGGCAGTCGCAGTTTTTGTGCTGTGGCAGTGTTGATAAGGCTGTGGCTGGCCCCCTCCGTCTACGAATAATTTGACTAAATCAGTCCCGATTTTCCCACTAAGCAGTACGGGGTTGTCTACCTAGTACCCTCCTTATTCGGCCGGGTGTGGTCGATTGCGTGAACCGGCACAATCACTCGGTGAGGGTCGGTTGGGTCGGGTGAGCGGCGTGACCTATCAGTAGAGGGCCCGTCTGCTACTGACTCCCAGCGTTTCCCTGCTGCTTGGTCTGTTTCTGCTGCTCAGCTTCCCCCTTTCCCTTAGCTTTTTCCGGGCATTCGCGCTTACGATGTCCCGGCCAATTGCACGCAAAGCAGCGCCCTTTGAATGATACGGCAGCGGCATTTGCGGCGACGGCAAGTATCGTGGCACCCTCGTTTGTCCCACGAGACCGATGTCCCCAATGGCTGCTTTGTAAAAGTTTAGAAGAAAGAAGAGGGTTGCACTAGTAAGAATGAGGATACAAATAGCAAACCCTAAAAGGGTTGTACTCGCTATAGAGCACCCCACTACAGGCTAGAGCATAATATTCTGACACACCCCCATAGCCAAAGTGGGGTGTAATCAGCAGCGCAAGCAAAGCAGTACAAGCTCAGGGTGGATCACAATGTCACCACACATTCTGAGCACAAGTTCAAGAAGCAATAGTTTAAGTTCACAATTATGAGCAAAGCTAGGGGCTATCGCATAGGGCAAGTGAGGAGGAGGAGAGAGAGTGAGAGGAGAGGAGATAGGAGGCGACGGCTGAAGCTGCAGACACACGGGCAACAGGAGGCACACTGGCACAATGGCTACCGGAACAACGCTCCGGAATACTGGGGTAACTGGCCCCGCGGCTAAAGTAGCGGCAGATGAGCAACGGACCCACGGGCGACTGGCACAGCTGGCTACGACTGGGCTACCGGAGCAACTCCCCGGAATACAGGTGCTGCTGGCGACATGACAACAACCTCCATTCAGCTTCCCCAAACTATCCCACTCCCCCTGACACATACCCGCTGCGACACGCCTAGCTCCACTCCCCCTTCACCCCCCCTTAGTACCACTCCACCGGCTCCAACAAGTCCACCCCCCCTCAGCGGCAGCTGCAGCACAAGGAGACGGAGGAGGAGGAGGAGCAGGGAACGGCACACAGTTGGGTCACCCCCATACCCCTCACCCCCAAACCCTAATGCAAGAGAATGGGGAGTAGGAGGGGTGGGGCGCTTGTAGAAGCATGGGAGACAGCGGGGAGGGCAGGGGCAGCAAGGAACGGGCCCACTACGGGCCTGGTACGGTCACCCGAGCCGCCCGAACCGCCCGAGCCGCGCGCGGGCCTGGCGCAGCCCGGACGGGCCGCGCGCGGGCCTGGCGGAGTGCGTACGGGCTGCGCGCGGGCCTGGCGCATCCCGTACGGGCCGCGGGCTGCCTAGACGAGCCGCGCGCAGGCCACGATGGGCGACGGGGGGCGACGCGCGGGTCCCCGTCGCCCGTCGCCCCAGCCCGCCACGCGCCTCGGGGCGCACAGCGGGCAGAGAATCGCCGCGCGCCTCGGGGCGCACGGCGGGCAGAAAACCGCCGCGCGCCTCGGGGCGCACGGCGGAAAGAAAAACTGCCACACGCCACCGGGCGTGCGGCACAGAGTGCAGTGGTAGCAGTTGCAGCGGAAGTAAGGAGGTGGTAAGCCCACCCACAGGATCGATCCAAGGGGATCGACCTGTTCTGATAGCATGTAAAAGTTTAGAAGAAAGAAGAGGGTTGCACTAGCAAGAATGAGGATACAAATAGCAAACCCTAGAAGGGTTGTACTCGCTATAGAGCACCCCACTAAAGGCTAGAGCATAATATTCTGACATGCTTCCGTAGGACCCCGGTCTCGGTCGGCGGAAGAAATCAAGTTTCTCCGCCATAGCGAGAATTTCTTGAAAGTCGGTGACGCCGCGAAGCTGGATTTCCTGAGCGATGTCCTGCTTCAGGCCGCCGATGTAGTGGTCGATGCGCTCGCTCTCGTGCATATATCCCACCTGCTCGCATAGCGCCAGAAATCCGCTCGTGTAATCTTGGACGGAACCGAGTTGGCGCCACGTGCGGAGCTTCTGTCGCGCCACGATCGAAGCCGCGATTGGCTCGAAACGAGCGCGCAGACCTGCGCACCACGCATCCCACGTGTGATATTGGGGCGACGAAATACGACGGCGCCCAGGGTCCGGTTTGTCCTTCCCGTGTCGGTAGAGTCGTGTAGTCTAACGGCTTCGTGACGATGACGCGCCACCAATCCATGGCGGGTCCTCGCAGCAGTGACACGGCGTAGCGAATTTTCGCCGTATCCTCCGAGACGTAGTTGGCGTAAAAAAATACGTTGATCATGAACAAACACGCCTGAACGGTAGGACCACCACGTTGGCTGGGATCGAAGCATGGCAGACGTTGCGGCTTCAGCGGCATCGGTGACGGCAGTGCCGAACCGTCGGTTGGTGCCGAAATTGTGACGCGTGGCTGGCTTCGGGCCGCATTCGTCGCTTCGGGGTGTGTCGTGCCGTGGTCGTCGTCTCCGTCGGGGCGAACGACGCCATCACTGGCCGCGCTCGCGGGTTGCCCCACGCTTCCGTGTTGTGATGCTTGTGGTGCGAGCTGTTCCAGAGTGCCAGGTACTTGAGATTGTGCTTGTTGTGCTCGTGTGAGGTCGTTTTGCAGGGACGAGCGTTCTGCCGTCAGCGTCGCGATTTCCTTGGCGCTCTCACGGATTTGCCGCAGTATGTCGTTCAAGTGCTCCCGCGTGAGAGTCGTGATATCGACATGCTCAGCCATTTCGAAGGGTGTCGGCTCGTCTTAGTCTAGGCGCAGTCGTGGCTGCACGCGTTTATGAGAGAACGCGAGGACAGTGGCTCCTAGGTGCTAAGGTGCGTGAGTCCCTTCGAGTGAAAAATCAAAAGTTGATTTCCTGGGGTGCGGAGAAGCGCGGTCCGAAAGAAAGAGGCTCAGATACCAAGTGTTAAGGGTCCAATGAATCGAAGTAGCGAGAATTGCAGTAAGGTGTCAAAACGAATACAAAGATGTGAGCGAAGGCATGAGCGAGCATTTATACGCGAAACATGCAAACGGTAACGCGGTGCGTGCGAGCTAGCTAGTGCTACCCTGGCAGCGAGGCTTGGGCTAGTCCCGACGCATAGGCCGACACGGCCGGGGCAGCAGTGCGAGGTTTGGCAAAACAGTGCGCACGAAGTTGGCGAAGCCCCGTTAGTAGTAACGGGCGAACAATGGCTGTTGCTGTACGCGATGTAGTCGGGCTCCGTAAGGAATGCCTAGAAAATTCCTTACATCAACCCTCTCATTTCATATGAGGGTCCATTCAATTTATCGTTTATAATGTTCAATATGATAGCAGAGGCTGTTACAACTCAATCAAACAAACTACAAACCAAAATTCCAATCAAAATGGTACATTACAAATGCACATGAGCATGCACGACTAGCACATCTACAAAGGACTGGATTGAGAACACTACTCCGGCTTAATCATCATCGTCCTCCTCATGCTCCTCACCCTCATCCCCCCCCTCGTGATGGTCTTCCCCTTCGTCGTGTTCTCCCCCCTCGTGATGGTCTTCCCCTTCGTCGTGTTCCCCTCCCCCTTCTTTCCTCTCCCCACCACCTCCACCCTCCTTCTCCCCACCCTCTCCCCCCTTGTTTCCCCCACCCTCTCCCCCCTTGTTTCCCCCACCCTCACCTCCCTGGTTCCCCCCACCCTCACCCCCCTCACTACCACCCTCTCCCCCCTCCCCCTCCTCCCCCTCCTCCCCCTCCTCCCCCTCCTCGCCCCCACCGCCCCCCCCAGCAGGGGCGGACTGACATGAGAAGTCAACAGTGAGGCTTCCGCTGGAATAGGGGGAAACGAAACAGGGGCGGGCGCAAGAAAGGGGACGGGTGAAGGGGTTGAGCGGACCAGGGGGAAACGGTAAAGAGACTGTCGAGAAGGCCCATACGAGCTTATTCGGCCCTCTCAGATTGGTTGGTGTGTGCGTGCATGTGCGCGTGCATGAGCGCAGACGAAAGAGGGAGAGAGAGTACCGAGCCCCAGAAAAAGCCTTACAAGTTGTCGCCATGGTAGCCGAGAGACTTATGCGTGTGTTTCTTGTGCTTATGCGTTTGTACGTGAACGGAAAAGAGAGACTGAGAGCACGGGAAAAACCTTACAAGTCGCCGTCGTGATAGCCCTTGGAACCCGTCGAGTAGGCCCACACGAGCTTATTCTTCCCGCTCAGATTGGTTGGTGTGTGTGTGTGCGTGTGCATGAGCGCAAAAGGAAGAGGGAGAGAGAGAACTACCAAGTCCCAAAAAAAGCCTTACAGTTGTCGCCATGGTAGCCTACTGACTTGGACCCCATGGAGTACGCCCACACGAGCTTATGTGTGTTTTCTGTGCTTATGGGCTAGTGCGTGAAGGGAAAGGAGAGACAGAGAGCACGGGAAAAGGCTTACAAGTTGCCGCCGTGATAGCCGAGAGACTTGGACCCCGTGGAGTAGGCCCACACGAGCTTATTCTTCCCGCCGAGATTAATCTTCACCTCCCCTCCGTCATTCTCGCGCCGCAGGAACTTCACAACGGTCGACCCGCCTTCGTTGCTCGTCCCGGCATCCCCGCCAATATCCATCCCGTTCTCCTTCACGGTGCTCATGCTGTAACCGGTAATGTGGTAACCAGCAACGTTTCCGCCGTCCATGTTGCCGATGACGGCGGTGCTCTCCGCCATGCCTCCGTTGGCGGACCATGCGACGGACATCCATCCCTTCGCCGCGCCGCTGCCCGATTTCGCCTCCATGGCCATATCCAGCTGCCCGTTGATTGGCGCAGCCCAGTGCAGGACAAAACTGGCAAAAAAAACAAACAAAAATAGAACAGGAACGAAAAGGACGTGTTAAGAACGTGGGGACTGAATCAGCTTGCGTGAGGGGATAGACCAAGTATGAACCAGGCCTAGAACAGGATTCAACCGCATTGAACCAATGTAAAGCGAGAAGAGCTACTAGAATCCAGGCGAGAATAGGCTACGGAGTGCTTACTCTGAGCCCCTGAGTGGCGTGGAGTAGGTATATCCGGCCAGGCTGGACCCGGGGCAGGCAGAACCGGAGGAGGCAGCAGTAGAGGAGGAAAACGAGGGCGAGGAGGAAGTGAATTTATCGGAGCTGCTACCGCCGCTGCTGCTGCCGCTGTCACTGCCGCTGCTGCTGCCGCTGTCACTGCCGCTGCTGCTGCCGCTGTCACTGCCGCTGCTGCTGCCGCTGTCACTGCCGCTGCTGCTGCCGCTGTCACTGCCGCTGCTGCTGCCGCTGTCACTGCCGCTGCTGCTGCCGCTGTCACTGCCGCTGCTGCTGCCGCTGTCACTGCCGCTGTCACTGCCGCTGCTGCTGCCGCTGTCACTGCCGCTGTCACTGCCGCTGCTGCTGCCGCTGTCACTGCCGCTGTCACCCCCGGAGCTTCCGCCTCCGTTGCCACTGTTGCTGTCCGTGCTGCTGATGCTGCTGCTGCTGTCGGCGCTGCTGCTGCTGTCGGCGCTGCTGCTGCTGTCGGTGCTCTTAGTTGATGCAATAGAATCTGACGATTTGCCCGAAGAGGAATCAGGGGAAGAGGGCGAGGAGGAGGAGGAGGAGGAGGAGGGGGGAGGGGAGGGTTTGGCATAAGCTGTCCACCAGGGGGGGGAGGATTGATAGTCGTTGTAGGAGGGGGAAGAGGAGGAAGAGGGAGAAGAGGAAGAAGAGGAGTCGGAGGACGAGGAGGAGGAAGAGGAGGAAGACGAGGAGGAGTGAGAGGATGAAGAGGAGTCAGAGGGGGAGGAGGAGGAGTCAGAGGGGGAGGAGGAAGAACCTGAAGGGGAAGAGGAGGAACCGGAGGGGGAAGAGGAGGAACCGGAGGGGGAAGAGGAGGACGAAGAGGTGTAGGCGTCCCACCAGTTAGATGAGGAGTCGGAAGAAGAGGAAGAAGAGGAAGAGGAGGACGAGGAGGAGGATGACGAGGAGGAGGGGGAGGAGGGGGAGGAGGGGGACGAAGAGGCGGGAGGATTGTCACGAGGCGGGCTAGAAGGGGGGGATTTGGCGGGTGGGGGGCTGGCTGGGGGAGACTTTGGCGGGCTGGAAGAACCGCTGCTTCCGCCGCTTCCGCCGCTTCCGCCGCTTCCGCCGCTTCCGCCGCTTCCGCCGCTTCCACTTTCGCTGCTTCCGCTTCCACTTCCGCTTCCGCTTCCGCTTCCGCTGCCAGAGCCGCTGCTTCCGCCTCCGCCGCCGCCGTTGCAGGAGAAATCGATTTCGCCGGCGCCACTGGTTGAGAGAGATAGGGAATATGTGGAAGAGTGATTAATAAGAGCAGCAGGAAAATGGAGCTGGGTCTTTCCGTGATTAATCAGAGTTCGTTCCGTGATTAATAAGAGTTCGTTCCGTGATTAATAAGAGTTCGTTCCGTGATTAATAAGAGTTCGTTCCGTGATTAATAAGTGTTCGTTCCGTGATTAATAAGAGCTCGTTCCGTGATTAATAAGAGCTCGTTCCGTGATTAATAAGAGTTCGTTCCGTGATTAATAAGAGTTCGTTCTGTGATTAATCAGAGTTCGTTCCGTGATTAATAAGAGTTCGTTCCGTGATTAATAAGAGTTCGTTCCGTGATTAATCAGAGTTCGTTCCGTGATTAATAAGAGTTCGTTCCGTGATTAATAAGAGTTCGTTCCGTGATTAATAAGAGTTCGTTCCGTGAATACAGGGCCAAACACTTCCCAAATTATCTTTCATTAATCTTTCGGGATTTGGTTAGTTATGCATGAAAATCATATGCACCGCTTGGGTAAGGAGCTTACAGGTTGCTGCCGTGATAGCCGAGTGTCGTAGAGCCGCCAGACGACGTCGCCCAGATGAGCTTATTTTTCCCGGACTTGAATGCGACAGATCCGCCGTCGCCCTCCGATCGCGAGAATTGCATAATGATCTTGTCGCCGGATTTCGTCAGCCCAGCGCTGCCCAGCGACGGTTTGCCGCTCGGCTTGACGGAGCCCATATCGTAGCCGGTGATACTGTACGCCTGGACGGCTGCGCCGCCGTCAGCATTGCCGATCACCGCATCTGACGGAGCCATGGTTCCGCTTGACGAAAATGCGACGGAAATCCATCCGGCGCTCGCGGGTGCTTCGACGGCCATGCTGACGGAACCGCCGGAGGCCGCGGGCGTCCAGTGAAGAACGAGGCCGTGCGACAGGGTGGCAGCGGATGCAAAGTCCGGCAGAGTTGACGGCTGGCATTCAGCTGCGCTGGCAGCGCGAATGGCGGGTCTTGTGTCGATTTTGATCATGGTGCTGAATTGCTCCAGGAATAGCTTGTTGTCGCCGAAGTCCAAGACGCGCGCATGCGACGTCGTCGCAAACGCTGAGACAAAGGCTGCGACGGTCAGCGACAGGAGCGCCCACTTGGCGCTCCCTAGATTGAGTCGCCGCATGGCTGCTTGCTTGGTGACAGAACGTTTCAATGGTCCTCACAAGCTTCGAGTACAATGCGTAGTAAGCTTATGTTGAGTGGAGCTCCCAATTCGAATCTGGAAAATTGTGATGCTGACTGAATTCAGCAGCTGATATATATGTCGCAAGACGAAAATTGGGCTCAGCAATGTGTGACAGATGGAGTTTCGAGTTGATCTGACTGACATCGAAGCGCACGCGACCCGAAATGGGATGGCACAGATCGCGTTCTGCGGAAACGCCAACAGAACTGATCGTGTCATGCGAGTGCCTCTCTGATAGCTGACTGGCACGCGAAGAGGAGTCAGTCCCAGACCGAATTTGCAGGTCTGCGACTCAGAGTCGGCGAGCTGGGTCGTCGTCAGTTCTCAGTCGCGTGGGCGACCTCTCTGGCAATCGCAGCTGCCTGCGCGCACCAATTACAAGCAGCGCCTCCAAGCGTCCCCTCCCCCCCGCCCACACGGGGCCTACGCAGCTGTACCAGCGATAGGATCAGAGAGAAGCACGGAAGAAGGTTCGTATGGTCTGTACTCGACACAAGTGTCCTTATGATATTTCTGGTTAGTTTTACAAAAAAAATTATTCCAATGTATAGGCATAATAAAATCATGACAGGCCTGACTTTGTGCGACACCAAACTCCGATCCCCACAGAAGCCACAATGATGACAGGCCTGACTCTTCATATGTATTCGTATGTAATCAATACATTTATTGCAAGCATGGCAAGGCAATAATACATTATTTGCACTCTGAACAGTGAGTCGTGTGCACGAGGAGCATCGCATTTCCTACTGTTTCAACATCGTAGCTTCAGTGTTTCCCCTCAGAGCGGCTCCATCCAATCACTTTCCTTTTGCTAACAGCATCGCAAGCAGCACCGAACCACCCATTGTCTTATCCTCCTCTACCGTCATGCCTGTGGGGTTATCAATGATGCAAGCGAGCGGAACACCCAGCTCCAACGCCACCCCACCTCAGTCCCCTCCCATCAATCTAATCTACTTTCCCGGCAACTTCAATCCCCCTCCCTCTCCCCGTTCCCCTTCCTCCTTACGTGCTTCCAGGCTTGGGAAGGTTGTAAGCAGTGTGAGCCCCAGCAGCAGTGTGAGCCCCAGCAGCAGTGTGAGCCCCAGCAGCAGTGTGAGCCCCAGCAGCAGTGTGAGCCCCAGCAGCAGTGTGAGCCCCAGCAGCAGTGTGAGCCCCAGCAGCAGTGTGAGCCCCAGCAGCAGTGTGAGCCCCAGCAGCAGTGTGAGCCCCAGCAGCAGTGTGAGCCCCAGCAGCAGTGTGAGCCCCAGCAGCAGTGTGAGCCCCAGCAGCAGTGTGAGCCCCAGCAGCAGTGTGAGCCCCAGCAGCAGTGTGAGCCCCAGCAGCAGTGTGAGCCCCAGCAGCAGTGTGAGCCCCAGCAGCAGTGTGAGCCCCAGCAGCAGTGTGAGCCCCAGCAGCAGTGTGAGCCCCAGCAGCAGTGTGAGCCCCAGCAGCAGTGTGAGCCCCAGCAGCAGTGTGAGCCCCAGCAGCAGCACGAGGGTTCCGACCACGACTCCTCCCTCTAGTACAAGCCAGAAGGCTTCTCAGCAGCTGAGGCTACGGCTCCCCTTCCTTCAACCACCTAGTCTTCCTTCCCTGCTGCCAACTTCAATCCCCCTCCTGTTCCCCTAACCCCTCCTTCCCCAGGCTTGGCAAGGCTGCAAGCCCCTCAGCAGCTGAAGCTGCACCCCCCCTTCTCTCAACCACCTAGTCTTCCTTCCCTGCTGCTAACTTCAACCCCCCTCCCCCTGGCTTGGCAAGGTTGTAAGCAGCCAGCCCCAGTAACAGCACGAGGGTTCAGCCCCCTCAGCGGCTGGGTATGAGCCTTCTGCTTCCTGCTTCCTACCCCTCCCATCCCAGCTAGTCTTCCTTCCCTGCTGCCAGCTTCAACCCCCCTTCCCCTCCTGCACCCATGCTTCCAGGCGTGGCAAGGTTGTAAGCAGCCAGCCCCAGCAGCAGCACGAGGGTCCCAAGAATAACTCCCCCCCTCAGGGGCTGGGGCGGGCCCAGTAGAGGTAGGGGGAGGGTGAATGCTAGCACTGTCAGGGGCACTGGGGGAGTGGGAGGGGGGAGAAAGGGGAAGAGGGGTTTAAAGGGTCAGCAAGCCCCAGCAGCAGCACGAGGGTCCCAAGAATAACGCCCCCCCTCAGGGGCTGGGGCGGGCCCAGTAGAGGTAGGGGGAGGGTGAATGCGAGCACTGTCAGGGGTACTGGGGGGGGAAGGGGTGGGGAGGGAGGAGAGATCGCAAGGGTTTTAGCAGCTACCCCAGCAGGAGTGGCGTTCATGTGTGTATGTGCGCATGTGTGCATGTGCATGTGTGTATACGTGCATGTGTGCATGTGTGCATGTGTATGTGTGCATGTGCATGTGTGCATGTGTGCAGGTGCGTGTGCATGTGCATGTGTGCATGTGTGCAGGTGCGTGTGCATGTGCACATGTGTGCATGAGTGCATAAATGCATGTAGCTCGCTTCAACACCTGCTAGGGTCATGGAGAGGGATGCAATCACTGCAGACGACTTCTTGAGTAGAGCTGGCTGTGAGACGTAAGCGAGGATGTGCATGTATGTAAGTGCGAGTGTGCCTGTGGGCATGTGTGCGTGTGTGATTTTGTGCATGAGTGCATGCAGCTGGCTTCAATTCGTGTGAGGGTCATGCAGAGAGATGCAACCACTGCAGACAGCTTTTTGAGCAGAGCGAGCAGAGAGATATGAGCAAGTGCGCATGTGCATGTATGCAGGTGCGTGTGTATGTGTGCATGAGTGCATGTATCCAGATATGTGTGCATGTATGTAGATATGTATGCATGTATGTAGATATGTATGCATGTATGTAGATATGTATGCATGTATGTAGATATGTATGCATGTATGTAGATATGTATGCATGTATGTAGATATGTATGCATGTATGTAGATATGTGTGCACGTGCACAGCATGCCCTCTCACTCAAGAGTTACCAGTGAGGGACATAAAGAGAGATGCCACCACTGCGGACGACTTCCTGAGCGCATGCTTGCATGCATCCCTTATTGAGATGCATGTCATCTCACTCAACTCAAATCTTACCTGTGAGGGTCATGGAGAGAGACGCAATCACAGCAGACGACTTCTTGAGAAGAGCCAGCAGCGAGATGTTGAACGCTAGGTTGGCTGCCACGTAGAGCAGCGGGAGGAGTGGCGCTCCCTGACAGCCTGGAAAGATAGGGTGGAGGAGAGCGTGGAACCGGGGGGAGTGGAAGAGGAAGGAGCGCATTCAAGTTTTACTGAGAATACTCAATAAGCAGAGTGCATTCAAGCAGAGCGAGCAAAGAGATGTTGAACGCAAGGTTAACTGCCACGTAAAGCAGCGGGAGCAGGGGCGCTCCCTGACAGCCTGGAAAGATGGGGTGGGGAGCGGTGAGAAGGAAAACAGGAGGACAGATGGTTGCGAGCAGAGCCAGCAGGGAGATGTTGAAAGCTACTTTCGTTCTTTTGAGAATTCTCAAAAGTCGCACCAACATGATTGCGAGCAGAGCCAGCAGGGAGATGCTGAAAGCTAGGTCCGTTCCAATGTAGAGTTTCGGGAGGAGTGGTGGGGACGGAAACGTTGGGGCAGAGAAGTGTCGGCAGACCTTTATTGAGTCAACTTTTGAGAATTCTCAAAAGTCGCACCAACATTGGGGCAGAGAAATGTCAGCAGACCTTTATTGAGTCGACTCAAAACAAGGCCTGTAAGGCAAGATGCAATAGCAGCAAGATAACACATGCGATCCGTGCAGCTTTGACCTGGAATGTCCTTGTTGAATTGAAGTTGACAAGGCACTCGGATATGTAAGGCAAGATGCGATAACAGTAGCATAACCTTCAGGTCCATTAAAGCAGGCAAGATGCTACTGTTATCGTAAGTGAGTGGTTACCACTTATGATCCATTCAGCTGTAACCAAGCAAGATGCTACAGCACTTATGATCCGTTCAGCTGTAACCAGGCAAGATGCTACAGCACTTATGATCCGTTTAGCTGCAACTGACGACGCACCTGGAATGTTCTGGTTGAAGTTGAAAAGGCACGCGGCACCTTCCCGGAAGTAGCCTGGAAGCTGCGCAGGAGGGACTCTGTACCCCAAAGAGGAGATGAGCGGCAGCAGGATGAGGACGAAAAGCGCCTGTGGTGGTGGGAAGGGCGGCAGGATGAGGATGAAAAGCGCCTGTGGTGGTGGGAAGGGCAGCAGGATGAGGATGAAAAGCGCCTGTGGTGGTTGGAAGGGCGGCAGGATGAGGATGAAAAGCGCCTGTGGTGGTGGGAAGGGCGGCAGGATGAGGATGAAAAGCGCCTGTGGTGGTGGGAAGGGCGGCAGGATGAGGATGAAAAGCGCCTGTGGTGGTGGGAAGGGCGGCAGGATGAGGATGACAAGCGCCTGTGGTGGTGGGAAGGGCGGCAGGAAAAAAGAACAAGGAGGAAAGAATTGGGTCTGATTGTGCATTGACTCATAAGTTACGTCGTTATAATGGTGCATACCAGTGAGGAGATGAGTAGCGATTCGACTCAAAAACAGAAAGGTGACTGTTGAGGGTAGACTTGAAAATCACCCGACGTGCCAATCATATCCATAGATGAGTGGCAAAATGACTTGAGAGTCACCGCGTGCCATCAAAGGGGAAAGGGTACTGGGGGTTCATGAAAGGGTACTGGGGGTTCATGAAAGGGTACTGGGGGTTCATAAAAGGGCGAAATCGCAAAACGAAGGGCAGAGGAGGGAGCACCTGGAAGGCTGATCCGAAGGTGTTGACGACAAATATGTCCAACGAGCGACCCTGCGGTGTAGTGTGGTGCAATGTGGTGTGGTGTGGTTGGGTTGTGGTGTGGTGTTGTTCAGTGGAGCAGGACAGGCTTGGTATGGAACAAGCGAGTTTTGAAGGCTTGGTATGGAACAAGCGAGTTTTGGAGCCTTGGTATGGAACAAGCGAGTTTTGACATGTGCGCACTCCCATGCGCACTCCAATATGCGAATGGGAGTGCGCATGCATATGCGATACACATCTGAGATATGCATATGCGATAAGCATCTGAGATATGCATATGTGATATGTGACACTGTACACAAATGGTTCACATCTACAAAAGTGGACGGCTTGGATGACATTCCGGCAAGAAGACCAGTCCAATGAGAGCTTATTTTCCAAGCGCCTACATAGGAGAGCGCTTTAACTAGGGAGGGTGGTGGTGTGTGTGGCTTACGTTGAGCTTCTTGGCTGAATTTCGAAACACAGACTCCTGCCAAGGAACACATTGGCAAAGGTGAGCATTGGCTAAGGCAAAAGGAAGAAAACACAGGATTTGCTGTATCAATAGCTCTTTAGTTGACTCAAGTGCTGTCATGAAGCATAAAATTTTGCACATGATTATGCTATGGAGGATACTGTTGGGAATAATATAGCTGAGGGAACAACGAGAACTGTTGTTCCTTGGAACAAGACTAGCAGTGGGACAACAGTTGCTGCTGTGGGAAAAGACTCTCACCTTAATAATAGAGGATGCTGCTGGAAACACAGTGGATACTATGAAGAGGAGGGGCCACTGGATCGCTGTTGCTGCTAGCAGAGAAGCTAATAGCGTGGATACATGATGCAATGGCGGTCCACTGCGGTGCAGTGCGGTGGAATGGGATTGGAGTGGGTGAGAGGAAGGGAGGGGCAAGGGAGAGAGAGAGAGAGAGAGAGTTGGGTTGAGTGGGGTTGGAGTGGATTGGGGAGGAGGGAAAATGGAGGGATGGTGAGGTGAGGACAGAGGGTTCGAATGCAGTGAAGAGCGATGATTGGAAAAGGTAATAGTGGAAAAAAAAAGAGCAAGGAGGTGAGAGACGCGCTGGCAACTTGTGGCATGACCGACAGTCCTGACATGGATGATGTGACGTGGCATGGTATAATGTAGCATGGGATGATGTGGCAGGGAATGACGTGGCATGGCATGACGCCATGACATGACATGTCATCACATGACGTGGCATCACACGACGTGGCATCAAACAGCGTGGCATCATATGACTTGGCATCACATGACGTGGCATCACATGGCGTGGCATCACATGACGTGGCATCACATGACATGGCATCACATGACGTGGCATCACATGACTTGGCATCACATGACGTGGCATCACATGACGTGGCATCACATGACGTGGCATCACATGACTTGGCATCACATGACGTGGCATCACATGACGTGGCATCACATGACGTGGCATCACATGACGTGGCATCACATGCGCCGGCAGTACCTGGTCACCACCACCACCGCAACTCCCACAATCACGAGGAAGCATCCCAGAAGCTGCTGTGGCGAGTAGCGGCGGCCGAGGAAGACATAAGAGAGGGTGAGCTGCCACACGAGAAAGATCTGAAGGGGTTGTGTGCGGTGAAGAACGGCAGAAAGGATGGAAGATATAAGAGAGGATGAACCGCCACACCAGGAAGACCTGAACGGGAGAGAGGAGGGTGGAACAATGGCAAGGTTGTGTGCAGAGGAAAAAGGCAGGGAGGGTTGAAGAAAGAAGTGAGAGGGAGATAAGAGAGGACGAGCTGCCACACCAGGAAGACCTGAACGGGAGAGAGGAGGGTGGAACAATGGCAAGGTTGTGTGCAGAGGAAAAAGGGAGGGAGGGTTGAAGAAAGAAGTGAGAGGGAGATAAGAGAGGACGAGCTGCCACACACACCAGGAAGACCTGAAGAGATCTAGAGGGGGGAGAAGCGGCGGAAAGAGGTGGGGCGGGCCAAGGTTGTGTGCGGTGCTGGATGGCTGAGAGGATGAAAGAGATAAGAGAGGCAGAGCTGCTAGTGCGGGTGTAGTGAGGTTGTTTTTGAGACGTCTCAAAAACAACCCCTTGTGGCAAAAACAACCTCACTACACGAGAGGATGAAAGAGATAAGAGAGGCAGAGCTGCTTGGGCGGGACAACCCCTTGTGGGACCTGAAGAGAAGAAAGGGGGGGCACAGAGTAGAGTGCAATGCACAGGGCAGAGCAGAGGCAGGCACAACAGGGGAAGGCGCATGTGGGAAGGGGCGAGGAGGAAGGGCATACCTGTGAGAGCACTGGGATGAGGACTCCAGGCATATGCGCTGCAGCAAGGAGGAGGATAGGGGAGCAGAAAGGGGGGGGTGACATGGTGATGAGAGGAGATTTGGCTTGACATGGTGATGAGAGGAGATTTGGGGTTAACATGGTGATGAGAAGAGATTTGGGTTGACATGGTGAGGAGAGGAGATTGGGGTTAACATGGTGAGGAGAGGAGATTTGGCTTGACATGGTGAGGAGAGGAGATTGGGGTTAACATGGTGATGAGAGGAGATTTGGCTTGACATGGTGAGGAGAGGAGATTGGGGTTAACATGGTGAGGAGAGGAGATTTGGCTTGACATGGTGAGGAGAGGAGATTGGGGTTAACATGGTGATGAGAAGAGATTTGGCTTGACATGGTGAGGAGAGGAGATTTGGCTTGACATGGTGAGGAGAGGAGATTGGGGTCAACATGGTGAGGAGAGGAGATTTGGGTTGGCATGGTGAGGAGAGGAGATTTGGGTTAACATGGTGAGGAGAGGAGATTTGGGTTGGCATGGTGAGGAGAGGAGATTGGGGTTAACATGGTGAGGAGAGGAGATTTGGCTTGACATGGTGAGGAGAGGAGATTGGGGTTAACATGGTGAGGAGAGGAGATTTGGGTTGGCATGGTGAGGAGAGGAGATTGGGGTTAACATGGTGAGGAGAGGAGATTTGGCTTGACATGGTGAGGAGAGGAGATTGGGGTTAACATGGTGAGGAGAGGAGATTTGGGTTGGCATGGTGAGGAGAGGAGATTGGGGTTAACATGGTGAGGAGAGGAGATTTGGCTTGACATGGTGAGGAGAGGAGATTGGGGTTAACATGGTGAGGAGAGGAGATTTGGGTTGACATGGTGAGGAGAGGAGATTTGGGTTGACATGGTGAGGAGAGGAGATTGGGGGTGCAAGTAGGACTGGGATGAGGCCTTTAGGCTCCAATATTTGTGCAGCAGAGGGGGAAATAGGGGGCGATTTTGAGCGACTTGAAGGGGTTAAGGCCTAGGGTTTCGGGTTTAAAGTAAGGGTGAGGGGTGGGGTGGGGTGGACTCCCAGCCAACTGACTTGCAGCCATCATGCCTGTCGCGAGCCCTGCTGCCTCTAAAAGCCCCGTTAGCATGAAGGGGCGCTTGGGCAGAGTGAGCATGTCGGGTAGGGGATAGGGGTTAGGGGCTAGGGGGGTAAGGGATAAGGGTGGAGCAAGGGATGCTTAGTGTCATTCACACACCTGCAGCCATCATGCCTGTCGCGAGTCCCGCTGCTTCCAGCAGCCCCATGAGCAGCAAGGGACGCTTGGGTAGCGAGAGCATGTCGGGTCAGGGGCTAGGGGTTGGGGTTAAGGGCTAGGTTCAGGGGTTTAGGGATTCAAGACGAGACCACCAGCACCCAACTCACCAGCAGCCACCATCCCTGTCGCGAGTCCCACTGCTTCTAACAACCCCATGAGCATGAAGGGGCGCTTGGGTAGAGTGAGCATGTTGGGCTAGGGGTTCGGGGTTAAGCTCTAGGGGCTAGGGGCAAGGGAAGTTCACTGCCATTCAACTCACCAGCAGCCATCATGCCTATTGCGAGTCCCGCTGCTTCTAACAGACCCATGAGCATGAAGGGGCGCTTGGGCAGAGTGAGCATGTCGGGTGTGACTATATTGAGGGAGGTGCGGATGAGGAGGATAATTGAATAGACTGCCACGTAGCTGTTTGGGAGGAAATAGAGTGGGGAGGAGGGGGGGAGGGAGGGGGGAGAGGAGATGAGGGAAAAGAAAGGGGGGGGGTTGGGAACACGGCATGGGAGGAACGAGGAGGATAAGGGTGAAGAAGAGGGGGGACAGGGAAGGCGGGGACGGCAGGGGCGGCAGGGGAATAGCGAGGTAGAGGTAGCCTCTTGCAGTAAGGAAGGATTCGAACCGCAGCAAGCCAACCGGCAGGGGAATAGCGAGGTAGTAGGGCAATAGCTAGGGTGATGGAAAAGAATAGGGCCCCGTGGTTGATTGGGGTGCTTGCTTCAGTGCGGTGGGCTGGAAAGGCAAAGAAATGTGGGGAGCTGAGGCAAAAGAAGGAGTGGTTCAAATGGAATTTACCCGAATGTGGTGAGCTGGGCGAGGAGGAAAGGGTAGCGGTGCAAAGGGTGCGTCAATGAAGTGAGCTACGGAAAGTGCTTAAAGCGGTTAGGTTTACCCGAATGTGGTGAGCTGGGCGAGGAAGAAGGGGAAGCAGCGCAAGGGTGCTCCAATTCAATGCAGGATGCTTCAAATATGTGAGAGAGCAAACAGAATACACTAACAAGGTTAGCAGTTAACTTTACCCGAATGTGGTGAGCTGGGCGAGGAAGAAGGGGAAGCAGCGCAAGGGTGCTCCAATTCAATGCAGGATGCTTCAAATATGTGAGAGAGCAAACAGAATACACTAACAAGGTTAGCAGTTAACTTTACCCGAATGTGGTGAGCTGGGCGAGGAAGAAGCGGAAGCAGCGCAAGGGTGCTCCAATTCAATGCAGGATGCTTCAAATATGTGAGAGAGCAAACAGAATACACTAACAAGGTTAGCAGTTAACTTTACCCGAATGTGGTGAGCTGGGCGAGGAAGAAGGGGAAGCAGCGCAAGGGTGCTCCAATTCAATGCAGGATGCTTCAAATATGTGAGAGAGCAAACAGAATACACTAACAAGGTTAGCAGTTAACTTTACCCGAATGTGGTGAGCTGGGCGAGGAAGAAGGGGTAGCGGCACAAGGGTGCTCCAATTCAATGCAGGATGCTTCAAATATGTGAGAGAGCAAACAGAATACACTAACAAGGTTAGCAGTTAACTTTACCCGAATGTGGTGAGCTGGGCGAGGAAGAAGGGGAAGCAGCGCAAGGGTGCTCCAATTCAATGCAGGATGCTTCAAATATGTGAGAGAGCAAACAGAATACACTAACAAGGTTAGCAGTTAACTTTACCCGAATGTGGTGAGCTGGGCGAGGAAGAAGGGGAAGCAGCGCAAGGGTGCTCCAATTCAATGCAGGATGCTTCAAATATGTGAGAGAGCAAACAGAATACACTAACAAGGTTAGCAGTTAACTTTACCCGAATGTGGTGAGCTGGGCGAGGAAGAAGGGGTAGCGGCACAAGGGTGCTCCAATTCAATGCAGGATGCTTCAAATATGTGAGAGAGCAAACAGAATACACTAACAAGGTTAGCAGTTAACTTTACCCGAATGTGGTGAGCTGGGCGAGGAAGAAGGGGTAGCGGCACAAGGGTGCTCCAATTCAATGCAGGATGCTTCAAATATGTGAGAGAGCAAACAGAATACACTAACAAGGTTAGCAGTTAACTTTACCCGAATGTGGTGAGCTGGGCGAGGAAGAAAGGGTAGCGGTGCAAAGGAATGAGCGCCAGCTTGTAGAGCACTCGGTTGGCCACTCCCAGAGACACTGTTAGCAGTGCTAGCAGTAGGAGCTGATGGGAATACAGTGGGCAAGAACAGGAGACGAGAGAGGATGGGTGGGGCGGGTTGAAGGAATGACCGCCAGCTTGTAGAGCACTCGGTTGGCCACTCCCAGGGATAATGTTAGCAGTGCCAGTTAGCAGTGCCAGTAGCAGCAGCTGAGAAAATGGGAAAGAGAAAGGGAGGTTGTGAGGTAGGTGAAAGAAAACGAAAAAGAGAGGGAGGGTGGGCGAGAGAGCAGGGGTTTGCGGAGGGACAAACGGACCTCTAGTCGATGCTGTGGGCGAGCGAGAACAGCTGCTTTGAGATTTGAAGCGCCTCAAAGGGAGGAAACGAGAGGAAGAAGTAGAAGTGTGCAGAGGGACAAGCATACCTCTAGTCGACGCTGTGGGCGAGCGAGAACAGCTGCTTTGAGATTTGAAGCGCCTCAAAGGGAGGAAACGAGAGGAAGAAGTGTGCAGAGGGACAAGCATACCTCTAGTCGACGCTGTGGGCGAGCGAGAACAGCTGCTTCGTCCCCAGTTGCGGTCGTCGGCCCTCCTAGCTTCACCTCCCCTCCATCTATCTCCTCCCCTACCCCATCTCCTGCTTCCTCTCCTCCTCCTCCATCTCCTCCTTCTCCTCCTCCCCCTTCCACCCTTCCTACGGCTGATGCTCTTGCTGATACGGCTTCGGCGCTTCTACCATGCCTCTTTGCCAATGGGGCGCGTGCTTGTCTGAGTGACACGTGGCGGTGTTGGTACGGCATGTGACTGAATCGAGAGTCTAGTCTGATTGCGGCTCTGGTTACGCCAGCTGGACTTGGATTGGAAGCTGGCCTAGAAATTGCCGTGAAAACTGGAATGCCACGACAGCGGATGGCAGCGGCAGCTGCGGCATGCGCCATTTGAGGCGTAACCGCGGGAGATTAGCGAATCAGTGCGGGAGATTAGCGAATCAGACCTAATGTCTGAAAAAATCGCGAATGTTGGAAATGGCTGAAAATCTCGCGAACGTTGAGCGATTCTCGTCGAGATAACTTGTTGCCTACGCGGGGGGCGCGACGTTTCGTCGAAAAACGATGCCACGCCAGGATGACGTCGACACTCAGACTTTCAGTCACTCACAGCGTACTCCACAAGTCGACAGGTTTCTAGATGATTCACTCGGAAGTATTGATGATTACACATCGTGTCATCACGAAGACATCCGCTGCTCCACGGAATACGGTGCTAAAATAGGTCGATTCTGATCCGCATATAAAATATCGGACGACATGAAAGATTCTAGCCACCATATGCAAACACGACCCACGGTATGCGATATTAGCTGGCCGTTCTATCACCTGGTATTAAGTTATTGCCAGATCTTGAGTAGGTATAATTTGCAGCATTACACTAATTCCACATACCGTAATGAAAGACAGCTTATATGTGCAAGGGTTGCAGGGATTCGGCTAGCTATAAAATTACAGGAATTTTTACGGACAGCCCTCCATCAACCTACTGTTTGAAGTGGTGCATGCAACGGTAATATTGCAGTGCCATCCAGAATTGGTAATGCGGCATGCTTGTAGTATGCTATTTGAAGTGCGTAATTGGTTGCATACTGTTGGGCTGAGCAATCCTCAACACTCAACACATGCAACTAATCACACTGATATAGGCTTGAACCATGCACTTGGCTCTACTGCTTGAAGTGGGAACTAATTGCATGTGACTGCAGATGCGCCGTGACATTCAGGCTCTCCACCATGGGCTCGCCTCAATTGTTCACCATCACCACACACATGCCCCCATTGTTGATGTCCATTGCTCTGAACCTGGCATGGTATGAAAAAACGATGGGGAATGAGAAAGAGGATAGCAGAATGGTGGGGTCCAAGAACAGGGAACTGCTGACCATCACCACACATATGCCCCCATTGTTGACATCCATAGCTCTGAACCTGATATGGGAACAGGGGAAGTTAAGAGGGAAATGAGGGCGGGGAAAAAGAAAGCAGGGGAATGGAAATGGCGGGCAAAGGGAACAAGTAAACTGAAATGACAGGACATGAGAAGGGGTTGAAATGGAGGGGAATGAGTTCAAGGAAGAGATCTGGCAGGGAAATAGGGGCGAGAACTAGAAATGGAGGGGCGTGAGAAAGGAAAATACAATCTTATGGGACATGTCCACAGAACGGTCTGGGACAATTCTTGAGGCACCTCAAAAGACACGTAAAGAGATCGATCTAGGATGCACCATGCTGAAAGGAGAAACCTTCTGCGGTCTGGCAGGGTTGACTTTTGAGTCTACTCAAAAGTCAACATGCTCAGAAGAGAAACCTTCTGCGGTCTGGCAGGGAAAGAGGAGGCACCCAAACTCAACACACTCACCAGCCCTCCTGGGATCACCCAAAAGTCCCACCTCTCCTTTTCGAACAACAAGACATTAAAGGCACAAAACAGGCTCCTGCAAATACTGATGTCACCTATCCCTCCTGAGCGTGATTCTAAAGACTCTTACTTGTCAGGGCCCATTGCCAAGGGCAGTGCAGAGCAGCGCTCGCAGCAGGGACTTGTGCGCGATGACCACGATTTGAGAGCGCTGCATGGGAGGGCGGGGAGCAGCAGTGACAGTGGCAGGACCCTGAGAGTCACGAGTTTGCACGAGTGCAGAGTAGCGCTCTCAGCAGGGACTTGTGCGTGACGACCAGGATTTGAGAGCCCTGCCTGGGCGGAGGGCGGGGGGAGTTGGCAGCAGGCAGGAAGCAATGGCAGCAGGCAGGAAGCAATGGCAGTAGGCGCTTGAGCACACACACATACTAATTAGAGGGCGTGAATGGCACAGCAGAACAGAGCAGGACTAGGAGGGCAGTGGCAGTGGCAGTGGCAGTGGCAGTGGCAGTGGCAGTGGCAGTGGCAGTGGCAGTGGCAGTGGCAGTGGCAGTGGCAGTGGCAGTGGCAGTCTCATGAGCCCTCTGTTGGTAAAGCTCGCAGCAGGGCAGGGCTCACTCTCTCTTATCGTTATCGTACTTTTAACCGTAAGTTGCATGTTCAAAAGAGGAACATAGATATTGTTGACTTGGTCTTTGTCTGCTCCCGGATTAGATTTCCTCGCTGGCGTCAACTCCAATCTTGAATGTGACACAAATCTCCCGTCCCCTTGCAATAAAGCCATGCTCATGACACATTTGTGAGTCGTGACGTGACGCCTCAAAAGCTGGTGTTTTGAGTCGACTCAAAACATGCAGTAAAGCCATGCTCGTGACAACACATTTCCGATCCCTCTAAAGCTGGCGTGGCAACACTGCAATCAACACTAAAGACCCCACTATCTTATCCTCCTCTTCCCCCTCCGCCTTCCATGCCTGTAAGACTATCAATGATGCAAGCACGCAGACAACCCAACTCCTCACCATCCCACCCCTCCCCACGCCTCCCCACCCCTCCCCGCCCCCCTAAAGTGACCTCTTGGCAACACTGCAAGCAACACACCAAAGACCCCACTATCTTATCCTCCTCTTCCTCCTCCGTCTTTCATGCCTGTAAGCCTATCAATGATGCAAGCACGCAGACAACTCAACTCCTCACCATCCCACCCCTCCCCACGCCTCCCCACCCCTCCCTGCCCCCCTAAAGTGACCTCTTGGCAACACTGCAAGCAACACACCAAAGACCCCACTATCTTATCCTCCTCTTCCTCCTCCGTCTTTCATGCCTGTAAGCCTATCAATGATGCAAGCACGCAGACAACCCAGCTACAACTTCACCATCCCACCTAAGCAGCCAGCCCCGGCAGCAGCACGAGAGTCTTCTTGCCTAGTCCTCCTTCTCACCTGCCAATTTCAACCCCCCTCCCGTTCACCTGTCAATTCAAACCCCCCTCCCGTTCACCTGTCTATTGCAGCCCCAGCAGCAGCGCGAGGTTTCCAACCACAACGTCCCCCCTCAGGGGCAGAGCTGAGCCTTCCTCCCACAGCCAACTTCCTTCCCTGCTGCCAACTAGGTTGTGGAAGTTGGCAGCCTCCCATCCAACCTAGCCCTCCTTCCCTGCTGCCCACTTCAACATCCCTCCTTCTCCCCCTCCTTCTCCCCCTCCTGCTCCCCCTCCTGCTCCTCCTCCTGCTCCCCCTCCTACTCCCCTTCTTGCTCCCCCAGGCTTGGCAAGGTTGTAAGCAGCCAGCCCCAGGAGCAGCACTAGGGTTCCGACCACAACACCCCTGCTCTCAGGGGATGAGGTTGAGCCTCCCCCCCTCTTCCCTTAACCACCTAGTCTTCCTTCCCTGCTGCCAACTTCAACCCCCCTCCTGCTCCCCCAGGCGTGGCAAGGTTGTAAGCAGCAAGCCCCAGCAGCAGCACGAAGGTTCCGACCACAACACACCTATTCTTCCTTCCCGCCTCCTGCCAACTTCACTCCCCCTCCCCCTCCCCCGCCTGTGCTTCCAGGATTGGCAAGGCTGTAAGCAGCCAGCCCCAGCAGCAGCACGAGGGTTCCGACCACAACGCCCCCCCTCAGGGGCTGGGGCGGGCCTCGCAGGGGCAGGGGGAAGGTGAAGGCGAGAACTGTCAGGGGCACTGGGGGGACTTTTGAGAATTCTCAAAAGGCACTGGGGGGGGAGAGAGGGGGGAGATATGGGACGAGAGATTTGAACGATACCCACAGAAGCAGCACGAGGGTCCCCACCACAACGCCCCCCCTCAGTAAACAGAAGTGTTTTGAGACGTCTCAAAACACTTCTGTTAACACGTGGGTCCCCACCACAACGCCCCCCCTCAGGGGCTGGGGCGGGCCTCGCAAGGGCAGGGGGAAGGTGAATGCGAGCGAGCACTGTCAAGGGCACTGGGGAGGGGTGGTGAGGGGGGAGGGGGAGAATAGGGAGGAATGGGAAGAGAGGTTTGGAGGGTCAGCAAGACAATACTTGCAACCGCAGCACATGGGCTCCGACCAACAACACCCCCCATCAAGGGCTGGGGCGGGCCCAGTAGGGGCAGGGGGGATGTGAATGCCCGCACTGTCAGGGGCACTGGGGAGGGCGGGAGGGGGGGAGAAGGGGAACGGAACGGAGGAGAGATCGCAAGGGTGTTAGCAGCTATCCCACCAACAGAGGTGTGCATGTGTACATGTGCATGTGCATGTAGCTCACTGCACTACCTGCGAGGGTCATGGAAAGAGATGGCACCACTGCAGACGAATTTTTGAGCAGAATAAGCAGCGAGATATGAGCATGTGTGCATGTGTGTGCATGTGTGTGCATGTGTGTGCATGTGTGTGCATGTGTGTGCATGTGTGTGCATGTGTGTGCATGTCCATATGTACATCTGGACATGCATACATGCACACACATGCACACACATGCACACACATGCACACACATGCATACGTTCAGTGTATGTAGCTCACATATTAGTACCTGCGAGGGTCACGGAAAGAGATGCCACCACTGCAGACGACGTCTTGAGCAGAATAAGCAGCGAGATATGAGCAAGCGCGCACGTGTGACTTTTGAGAATTCTCAAAAGTCACTCCAATATTCACGTGTGACTCTGTGAATCTCTTGCAAGTGTTCGTGTATGCACGTGTGAATGTGTGCATCTCTTGCGTAGCATGCCCTGCCCTCTCACTCACTACTCACCCACGAGGGTCATGGAGAGAGATGCCGCCACTGCAGACGACTTCTTGAGCAGAGCCAGGAGGGAGACGTTGAACGCTACGTTCGCTGCCACGTAAAGCAGCGGGAGGAGTGGGGCTCCCTGACAGCCTGGAGGCGAGGGGGAAAGGGCGGCAGAATGAAGAAGTGAGGGGGAACGGGGGGAGTGGAGACAGGAAGAGCCAGCAGCGAGATGTTGAAGGCTGGGTTGACGGAGGCGGAGGTGGAGGAACAAGAAGAGTAGTTGCATCAGAGGGATGTTGACTTCTGAGGCGCCTCAAAAGGAATGGGAAGGAGCGGATTCAAGCAGAGAGAGCAGCCAGCAGCCAGCAGCCAGCAGCCAGCAGCCAACAGCCAGCAGCCAGCAGCCAGCAGCCAGCAGCCAGCAGGCGGAGGAGGAGGAACAAGAAGAGCAGCTGCATCAGAGGGATATTGAAGGCTCGAGTGGGAAAACAATAGCAGTTGACGATGTGGATAATAGCTGCGATCCATTCACATCTAACTGCCGACGCACCTGGTACGGCCTGGTTGAAGTTGAGAAGGCACGTGGCACCTTCCCGGAAGTAGCCTGGAAGCTGTGCAGGAGGGACTCTGTACCCCAGAGAGGAGATGAGCGGCAGCAGGATGAGGACGAAAAGCGCCTGTGGTGGTGGGAAGGGCGGCAGGATGAGGATGAAAAGCGCCTGTGGTGGTGGGAAGGGCGGCAGGATGAGGATGAAAAGCGCCTGTGGTGGTGGGAAGGGCGGCAGGATGAGGATGAAAAGCGCCTGTGGTGGTGGGAAGGGTGGCAGGATGAGGATGAAAAGCGCCTGTGGTGGTGGGAAGGGCGGCAGGATGAGGATGAAAAGCGCCTGTGGTGGTGGGAAGGGCAGCAGGATGAGGATGAAAAGCGCCTGTGGTGGTGGGAAGGGCGGCAGGATGAGGATGAAAAGCGCCTGTGGTGGTGGGAAGGGCGGCAGGATGAGGATGAAAAGCGCCTGTGGTGGTGGGAAGGGCGGCAGGATGAGGATGAAAAGCGCCTGTGGTGGTGGGAAGGGCGGCAGGATGAGGATGAAAAGCGCCTGTGGTGGTGGGAAGGGCAGCAGGATGAGGATGAAAAGCGCCTGTGGTGGTGGGAAGGGCGGCAGGATGAGGATGAAAAGCGCCTGTGGTGGTGGGAAGGGCGGCAGGATGAGGATGAAAAGCGCCTGTGGTGGTGGGAAGGGCGGCAGGATGAGGATGAAAAGCGCCTGTGGTGGTGGGAAGGGCGGCAGGATGAGGATGAAAAGCGCCTGTGGTGGTGGGAAGGGCAGCAGGATGAGGATGAAAAGCGCCTGTGGTGGTGGGAAGGGCGGCAGGATGAGGATGAAAAGCGCCTGTGGTGGTGGGAAGGGCGGCAGGATGAGGATGAAAAGCGCCTGTGGTGGTGGGAAGGGCGGCAGGATGAGGATGAAAAGCGCCTGTGGTGGTGGGAAGGGCAGCAGGATGAGGATGAAAAGCGCCTGTGGTGGTGGGAAGGGCGGCAGGATGAGGATGAAAAGCGCCTGTGGTGGTGGGAAGGGCGGCAGGATGAGGATGAAAAGCGCCTGTGGTGGTGGGAAGGGCGGCAGGATGAGGATGAAAAGCGCCTGTGGTGGTGGGAAGGGCGGCAGGATGAGGATGAAAAGCGCCTGTGGTGGTGGGAAGGGCGGCAGGATGAGGATGAAAAGCGCCTGTGGTGGTGGGAAGGGCGGCAGGATGAGGATGAAAAGCGCCTGTGGTGGTGGGAAGGGCGGCAGGATGAGGATGAAAAGCGCCTGTGGTGGTGGGAAGGGCGGCAGGATGAGGATGAAAAGCGCCTGTGGTGGTGGGAAGGGCGGCAGGATGAGGATGAAAAGCGCCTGTGGTGGTGGGAAGGGCGGCAGGATGAGGATGAAAAGCGCCTGTGGTGGTGGGAAGGGCGGCAGGATGAGGATGAAAAGCGCTTGTGGTGGTGGGAAGGGCGGCAGGATGAGGATGAAAAGCGCCTGTGGTGGTGGGAAGGGCGGCAGGATGAGGATGAAAAGCGCCTGTGGTGGTGGGAAGGGCGGCAGGATGAGGATGAAAAGCGCCTGTGGTGGTGGGAAGGGCGGCAGGATGAGGATGAAAAGCGCCTGTGGTGGTGGGAAGGGCGGCAGGATGAGGATGAAAAGCGCCTGTGGTGGTGGGAAGGGCAGCAGGATGAGGATGAAAAGCGCCTGTGGTGGTGGGAAGGGCGGCAGGATGAGGATGAAAAGCGCCTGTGGTGGTGGGAAGGGCGGCAGGATGAAGATGAAAAGCGCCTGTGGTGGTGGGAAGGGCGGCAGGATGAGGATGAAAAGCGCCTGTGGTGGTGGGAAGGGCGGCAGGATGAGGATGAAAAGCGCCTGTGGTGGTGGGAAGGGCGGCAGGATGAGGATGAAAAGCGCTTGTGGTGGTGGGAAGGGCGGCAGGATGAGGATGAAAAGCGCCTGTGGTGGTGGGAAGGGCGGCAGGATGAGGATGAAAAGCGCCTGTGGTGGTGGGAAGGGCAGCAGGATGAGGATGAAAAGCGCCTGTGGTGGTGGGAAGGGCGGCAGGATGAGGATGAAAAGCGCCTGTGGTGGTGGGAAGGGCGGCAGGATGAGGATGAAAAGCGCCTGTGGTGGTGGGAAGGGCGGCAGGATGAGGATGAAAAGCGCCTGTGGTGGTGGGAAGGGCGGCAGGATGAGGATGAAAAGCGCCTGTGGTGGTGGGAAGGGCAGCAGGATGAGGATGAAAAGCGCCTGTGGTGGTGGGAAGGGCGGCAGGATGAGGATGAAAAGCGCCTGTGGTGGTGGGAAGGGCGGCAGGATGAGGATGAAAAGCGCCTGTGGTGGTGGGAAGGGCGGCAGGATGAGGATGAAAAGCGCCTGTGGTGGTGGGAAGGGCAGCAGGATGAGGATGAAAAGCGCCTGTGGTGGTGGGAAGGGCGGCAGGATGAGGATGAAAAGCGCCTGTGGTGGTGGGAAGGGCGGCAGGATGAGGATGAAAAGCACCTGTGGTGGTGGGAAGGGCGGCAGGATGAGGATGAAAAGCGCCTGTGGTGGTGGGAAGGGCGGCAGGATGAGGATGAAAAGCGCCTGTGGTGGTGGGAAGGGCGGCAGGATGAGGATGAAAAGCGCCTGTGGTGGTGGGAAGGGCGGCAGGATGAGGATGAAAAGCGCCTGTGGTGGTGGGAAGGGCGGCAGGATGAGGATGAAAAGCGCCTGTGGTGGTGGGAAGGGCGGCAGGATGAGGATGAAAAGCGCCTGTGGTGGTGGGAAGGGCGGCAGGATGAGGATGAAAAGCGCCTGTGGTGGTGGGAAGGGCGGCAGGATGAGGATGAAAAGCGCCTGTGGTGGTGGGAAGGGCGGCAGGATGAGGATGAAAAGCGCCTGTGGTGGTGGGAAGGGCGGCAGGATGAGGATGAAAAGCGCCTGTGGTGGTGGGAAGGGCGGCAGGATGAGGATGAAAAGCGCCTGTGGTGGTGGGAAGGGCGGCAGGATGAGGATGAAAAGCGCCTGTGGTGGTGGGAAGGGCGGCAGGATGAGGATGAAAAGCGCCTGTGGTGGTGGGAAGGGCGGCAGGATGAGGATGAAAAGCGCCTGTGGTGGTGGGAAGGGCGGCAGGATGAGGATGAAAAGCGCCTGTGGTGGTGGGAAGGGCGGCAGGATGAGGATGAAAAGCGCCTGTGGTGGTGGGAAGGGCGGCAGGATGAGGATGAAAAGCGCCTGTGGTGGTGGGAAGGGCAGCAGGATGAGGATGAAAAGCGCCTGTGGTGGTGGGAAGGGCGGCAGGATGAGGATGAAAAGCGCCTGTGGTGGTGGGAAGGGCGGCAGGATGAAGATGAAAAGCGCCTGTGGTGGTGGGAAGGGCGGCAGGATGAGGATGAAAAGCGCCTGTGGTGGTGGGAAGGGCGGCAGGATGAGGATGAAAAGCGCCTGTGGTGGTGGGAAGGGCGGCAGGATGAGGATGAAAAGCGCTTGTGGTGGTGGGAAGGGCGGCAGGATGAGGATGAAAAGCGCCTGTGGTGGTGGGAAGGGCGGCAGGATGAGGATGAAAAGCGCCTGTGGTGGTGGGAAGGGCAGCAGGATGAGGATGAAAAGCGCCTGTGGTGGTGGGAAGGGCGGCAGGATGAGGATGAAAAGCGCCTGTGGTGGTGGGAAGGGCGGCAGGATGAGGATGAAAAGCGCCTGTGGTGGTGGGAAGGGCGGCAGGATGAGGATGAAAAGCGCCTGTGGTGGTGGGAAGGGCGGCAGGATGAGGATGAAAAGCGCCTGTGGTGGTGGGAAGGGCAGCAGGATGAGGATGAAAAGCGCCTGTGGTGGTGGGAAGGGCGGCAGGATGAGGATGAAAAGCGCCTGTGGTGGTGGGAAGGGCGGCAGGATGAGGATGAAAAGCGCCTGTGGTGGTGGGAAGGGCGGCAGGATGAGGATGAAAAGCGCCTGTGGTGGTGGGAAGGGCGGCAGGATGAGGATGAAAAGCGCCTGTGGTGGTGGGAAGGGCGGCAGGATGAGGATGAAAAGCGCCTGTGGTGGTGGGAAGGGCGGCAGGATGAGGATGAAAAGCGCCTGTGGTGGTGGGAAGGGCGGCAGGATGAGGATGAAAAGCGCCTGTGGTGGTGGGAAGGGCGGCAGGATGAGGATGAAAAGCGCCTGTGGTGGTGGGAAGGGCGGCAGGATGAGGATGAAAAGCGCCTGTGGTGGTGGGAAGGGCGGCAGGATGAGGATGAAAAGCGCCTGTGGTGGTGGGAAGCTAAGTGGCAAAATACGCTTTTGCCTTTAAGCGTTTAGCGTTTATCCGCTTGCGTATACACGCAAAACGCTATACGCTAACGAATACGCAATACGCTCGGGGGTTTTTTTCAGGGCAGCCCAAAAACGAAAAAAAAATTGTATATCTGAAAAGTTTCGTCTTCTCACGGCGAAGAAGATGCCGTGCTCGAAATGCACGTCCGAGATCTACCCTGGCCTGGACGTGGCTTCAATGTATGGAGGTGAGTTGGTTTCCGTGCTTTCAATTCGCGGCCCCGCGACTGTGAGTTGGGTTACGTGGCTCCAATGTTTGGAGTCGCGATGTCCTTGACATTCCACATTGGAGTTCCACCAATTTGTACCGCTCTCGACCTACAAACTCCCTCCAATTCAACTTCTCCCCACCACTCCATCCCACGCTACTTCACAATCATGTATTGTTCTCTCTCGTCAATGCATCCTCCCATGTACCTTCACAGACCTTTTTAGAATGTCTTCTGCAGATGTTAGCCCGACCCCGTCCACTCCCCCTCCTAATACCAGCACGGACAGTCCTGTTCAGTCGGCGCGAGTTTACCTTCCCGATGTCGACCACGAGGTGTTCAAGCATTTCCGCCGCATAAAGGTGGACGAGGGGAAATCGCAGCAATACGAATGCAGGTACTGCTGCAATGTCTTTTCTGGCGCCGCCACCCGCTGCGCGCAGCACTTGGCGAGTTGGAGGAAGATGAGGCGCCGCGAAGTGGCGCTATGCAAGGAAGCCCCCTCTGAAGTACGGGCTGCCATCCGGAAGAAGTATGAGGCTAAGGCTGCAGCGGCGGATCAGCGCCGCCAGGCGACATCGGATGCCATTGCGTCGGTCACCAGCGGCGGAAAGAGGAGCCGCATTACTGACTACTTGGAGACGGATGCGGCAGCTGCGAAGCGCGATGCACACGAGGCGTTGGCGCTGATGTTCGCGGCGTGTCGAATCCTGGAGCGCGTGGCGGCACACCCTCTCTTCATCAACGCCGTTTGTGCCATTAGGGACTCCGGCACAGGATACGTCCCCCCGACGAGGACGTTCATCGGCGGGGCGGGCTTGCGACTCTGTTGCGAGAACATCGACAGAGGGCTTTCTGGAGTGAAGGCGAGCTGGAAGCGGACCGGCGTGACAATTTCTTCTGATATGATGACTGATAAGAACGGTCGCCCCCGGGCGAACGTGTTTCTCGTCAACGAGAGCGGTGCGGTGTTCAAGGACAGCGTGGACTGTCGCATGGAGACCAAAACCGGCGGTTATGTCGCCAGCATCCTCAGGCCCGTGGTGGAGGAGGTCGGTCCCGATAACGTGGTGGCGTTCTGCACGGACGGTGGGTCCAACTACGCGGTGGCGTGCAACGAGCTGATCGCGGAATGGCCGCACATTCAACACGTGCCATGCGCCACCCACGTGTTGGACCTCTTCATGGAGGACGTCGGCAAGATGACGTGGGCCAAGAAGGTGGTGGACACTGCGGGCGAGATCAGCTCCTTCGTCCGCAACCACCACTGGACAAGGGGATACTTGAGGACCCCCGGACTGGTGGGTGAAAAGATGCTGCAGGCGCTGAAACCGGCTGGAACCAGATTCGGGACACAGTACATTGTTGTGTCCCGTCTCTGTGAGCTGCGGCAGTCGCTTGCACAGATGGTGGTGTCTGATGTGTGGAAGGGTTGGGCAGTTGGGGATAGGAAGAAGTCTGCGGATAAGTTTGCGTCACAAGTTCTTGATGACGCGTGGTGGCGGACGGCGGAGTTTTTCTCCAAGCTGATGAAGCTCCCGTTCATGGCAATGCGTAAGACCGATGGGGATGCCAAGGGGATGATGGGCCGGATGTATGATGTGATGCTGCAGTTGACCGAGGATGTGGGGACAGTGGTGGAGGAGGATGAGGAGCAGCTGAGCTACTCCGACAAAGTGAACATCCGCCGCCTGCTGAAGAACAGGTGGGACGACAGCCTGGCCTGCCCCATGCACGTTGCGGGCAGAATTCTCAACCCGGCGAACCAGGATGAAGACATCTTCGGCTCAGACGCGGAGTGCACTAGGGTATTCAAAACGTACATCACTCAGCACGCCGAGCACCTGTGCAATTACGGGAAGGAGGGGGATGATGGGGATGACATTGGCGAGGTTTTGATGGAACTGCAGGACGGGGTGAGGGCATTTCTGGATATGAAGGGAAGCTTCGGGATGGGGGATGCAATTGCTCAGAGGAACTTGGTCAAGCAAGGCAAGTATGACATGGTAAAGTGGTGGCAGTGGCACGGCACTGACGCACCAAAGCTGGCGGCCCTAGCCATCAGGACTCTCTCTCAGCCCGTGTCGGCTTCACCATGTGAGAGGGGATGGTCAACGTGGGATGGGGTGCACACGGCCCGCCGGAACCGGCTTGGCTCTGCCAAGTGCCGGGATTTGGTTTTTGTTGCGCACAACTGGAGCGTTGTGCGCAACTGGCATTCCCGTGCAGATGTCATGCCGGGTGTGGTGCTCGGGAACATCCCGGAGCCTCCCGTGCCCGAGGGCTACAATGTGATGGAGGGGGATGAGGAGGAGGAGGAGGAGGGGGAAGACGACATTTTGGAGGATGAGTATGCGTAGGTGGGTTAATTGATCTGGACTAGCGTGAGTAGTAGTATGTGAAGTAGTAGTAGTAGTATGGGATGAGTAGTTGTCATTGTAATGTTGGTGAAAAAAAAAAAAACGGGAAAAAAAACCGGGAAATCCTACCCCCGTGGAAACTTACCCCAGTAGTATTGCAGGGGGGTCTTATTTTAGCTGCCCGATGTTTTTTTAACCTGCCCGAAATAGCGTATCTAGGGTCTCGGGACCTTTGCGTATAGCGTATAAACGCGTGCGTATATACGACACGCGTATATACGCAATACGCGTATTTTCCCACTTAGGTGGGAAGGGCGGCAGGATGAGGATGAAAAGCGCCTGTGGTGGTGGGAAGGGCGGCAGGATGAGGATGAAAAGCGCCTGTGGTGGTGGGAAGGGCGGCAGGAGAGGGAAGAGTGGGTCAGCTGTTGAGTCGACTCAAATGACAACGGGGTTAGCTCCTCTCTAGGCCACAATGGTGTATACCCAGAGAGGAGTTGAGCGGCAGTAGGATGAGGATGAATGGCGCCTGTGGTGGTGGGAAGGGCGGCAGGAGAGGGAAGAGTGGGTCAGCTGTTGAGTTGACTCAAAAGACAACGGGGTTAGCTCCTCTCTAGGCCACAATGGTGTATACCCAGACAGGAGTTGAGCGGCAGGGGGATGAGGATGAATGGCGCCTGTGGTGGTGGGAAGGGCGGCAGGGGAGGAGAGGAAGTAGATCCGGTATTGAGTCAACTCAAATGTCACTTAGTTGCAATGGTGTGTACCCAGGGAGGAGAGGAGCGGCAGGGGGATGAGGATGAAAAGCGCCTGTACTTAGAATGAGGATGAAAAGCGCCTGTACTTAGAATGAGGATGTGGGGGATTCAGATTCTAAGAAGTCATATATATACTAATGAATAGAGAGAGGGGTGAATTTGGAGTCGACTCAGGAGTTGCCTTGTAAAAGATCAAAGTGGTGTTGCCAAGCGAGGAACTTTTGGGAATTCTCAAAAGGAACTTTTGCCACTTTTAAGAATTCTCAAAAGCGATAGAAGAAAACAAAAGCAGTTTACACTTTTGCCGGTCGAGCAGGACACAAAAGAGACAGTAGAATGATGAGGCGCCTCAAGAATCACCCCGAATGAGGAGATCCGTGGATCAGTAGGAGAAGATGAGGGGAAGGAGATGGGGACAAGGGCATGAGAGTGACCTTTGAGTCGACTCAAAAGACGCCTCCAGAATCGCCCCAAATGAGGAGATCCGTGGATCAGTAGGAGAAGATGAGGGGAAGGAGGTGGGGAAACGGGTATGAGAGCTGGAAGAGGTATTTCTGTTGGAACATCTTAGTGTACTAAGAGAGGAGGGTAGGGAGAAAGAAGATGGAAGGAAAAGGAGGGAAATGAAAGGAAAAGTGAGAATGGGGGGAAATGAACGGGAGAATCTGCGAATAGAGGGTCGAAAGGGGGAGCACCTGGAAGGCTGATCCGAAGGTGTTGACAACAAATATGTCCAACGAGCGACCCTGTGGTGTGGTATGGTGTGGTGGGGCAGGATGAGAAGGCTTGGCATGGAACATTGCATATGCGTGCACATGCGGACGTGAAATGTGATATGTGATATGGAACACGATGGTTCACATTTACAGAGGTCGGCTGCTTGTGTGACATATGAGCATAGAGACCAAGTCCTGTGACCACTCACTGTCCAACCCCCTGGCTTGATCTTTTCCACGCCTCACAAATAAGCTGGGCTTTTTACTAGGGATGTGGGATGTGGGATGTGGTAGTAAGGCTTACGTTGAGCTTCTTGGCCGAATCTCGGAAGACACGCTCCTGTTGATCAGAGCAGAGCAAGCAGTTTCGAAGAAGAAATAAGGAATCAAAGGGCGAAGGTGAGTGAGCACAAGCGTGGAGAGAGAACACCCGAGTTGTGACTTCGTGAATGACTTTGCGGTTGACTTGACTCAAGGGTTGCCCTGAAACGGGGTGACTTTTGAGTCGGCTCAAAAGTCACCTAAACACCAAGTTGTGTTGTGTGAATGACTTTGCGGTTGACTCAACTGTTGCCCTAAAACATAAAATTCTGCAAAAGAACTAGTTGGGGGGCCGATGGAAAAGGCCTTTTCTCAGATAGAATGGTTGAGATAGAAACAAAAGGCTTGAGTAATAGAGGAAAGGCGCAATGGACTCGCAGCGGGGAAAGAATCTCACCTTAAGAACAGAGGATGCTGCTGGAAGCACAGTGGACAATAGGAAGAGGAGGGGCCACTGGATCGGTGTTGCTGCTAGCAGAGAAGCTAATAACGTGGACACAATATGCAATGGCGGTCCACTGCGGTGCAGTGCGGTGGGATTGGAGCGGGACGGGAAGCGGGGTAAGGCAAGGGAGAGGGAATGAAGCAACAGCGGCAGAGGGTACCGTACCATGACTATTACCACTGGACATGGTAGTCATGCAATGGCATGAACATCGAGGCATGATGTGGCACGACAGGACGAGGGATGTGCCATGCATACCGTGGCATGATGTGGCATGACGTAAGACGACGTGGCATGACATGGCATGGCATGATGTGGCATGACGTGGCATGACGTGGCATGACGTGTCACCACATGCGTCTGCAGTACCTTGTGATCACCACCACGGCAATCCCCATGATCACGAGGAAGCATCCCAGAAGCTGCTGTAGCGAGTACCGGCAGCCGAGGAAGACATAAGAGAAGGTGACCTGCCACACCAGGAAGACCTGAAGGGGTTGTGTGCGGTGCAGAGCGGGAGAGATGGTTGAAGAAAGAAGTGAGAGAGATAAGCGAGGGTGACCTGCCACACCAGGAAGACCTGCAGGGCGAAGAGTGGGGAACACAGAGGTTGTGTGCGGTGCAGTGCGACAGCAAAGAGGGAAGGGAAGGGCATACCTGTGAGAGCACTGGGATGAGGACTCCTGGCATGTGCGCTGCAGAGGGGGGGCATAGGGGGGGCAGCAGGGGCGGGCAGCAGGGGAGGGCAGCAGGGGAGGGCAGCAGGGGAGGGCAGCAGGGGAGGGCAGCAGGGGAGGGCAGCAGGGGAAGGCAGCAGGGGAGGGCACGGGAGCAGAGGGGATGACGTTCGTGCAAACGACATATGTGTTGGCACCTCGTGCAAAGGGAGCAGCAGCAGGGGTGAGAAGATGAGGAGATTGAGGGCTTGGGTTAAGGGCTAGGGGTTCGGGTTTACGGGTGCTTGTGACGAGATTTGATAAGGGTTTTCCTCAGCACCAGCAGCCACCCTGCTGCTTCTAGCAGCAAGGGGCGCTTGGGCACAGACAGTGAGCATGTCGGGTTGGGGGCGAGGGTTTGGGGGCGAGGGTTTGGGGGCGAGGGTTTGGGGGCGAGGGTTTGGGGGCGAGGGTTTGGGGGCGAGGGTTTGGGGTCTAAGGGCTAGATGTACTGCCTTTCAAGTCACCAGCAGCCTTCATGCCTGTCGCGAGTCCTGCTGCTTCTAGCAGCCCCATGAGCAGCAAGGGGTGCTTGGGCAGAGTGAGCATGTCGGGATAGGAATTAGGGGTTCGGGGTTTAGGGGCTAGGGGTAAGGGGTAAGGGGTAAGGGGTAAGGGGTGGAGCAAAAGTTGTCCACTGCCGATCAACTCACCAGCAGCCATCATGCCTAATGCGATTCCTGCTCCTTCCAGCAGACCCATGAGCAGCAAGGGGCGCTTGGGCAGAGTGAGCATGTCGGGTTCAGGGCCAGGGTTTAGGGGCTAGGGTTTAGGGGCTAGGCCTAGAGTTAATCAGGCATCATCAGCAGCACACATACCAGCAGCAATTATGCCTGATGCGAGTCCTGCTCCTTCCAGCAACACCATGAGTATGAAGGGACGCTTGGGCAGCGAGAGCATGTCGAGTGTGGGGCTTGGGCTTAGGGTGTAGGGGTTAGGGGCAAAAGGTTTGGGGTGGAAGCAGTGTCATTTGAACTCACCAGCAGCAATTATGCCTAATGCGAGTCCTGCTCCTTCCAGCAGCCCCATGAGCATGAAGGGAAGCTTGGGCAGAGAGAGCATGTCGGGTGTGACTATATTGAGGGAGGTGCGTGCGAGGAGGGTGAGTGAATAGACTGCCACGTAGCTGGGAGAGGGAATGGGGGGAGAGGGAGGGGAGTGGAGAGAGAGCGGGGAGAGGGGGGAGAGCGGGGAGAGGGGGGAGAGCAGGGAGAGGGGGGAGAGGGGGGAGAGGAGAGTGGGCAGAGGCGGCTTCTTGACAACTGCTGCTGCCAAGGGGCGGATGCGGAAACGGTAAAGGGAAATGAGAAAAGGGACAAGGGAGGTACGAACGAGGAGGAAAAGGGGCAAGGGAGGTACGGACGAGAAGGAAAGGGGGGGAGCAGGGCACAGGACGGGCTGCGAGACGAGGGAGCATGTCGGGTGTGACCATATCGAGGGAGCAGCAGACGAGGAGGAGGATGAGACTCACCCGAATGTGGTGAGCTGGGAGAGGAAAAAGGGGTAGCGGCACAGAGGGTGTTTAGGAGTGATGGGTTATGGAAAGCGCTTAGAAGCGGTTAAATTTACCCGAATGTGGTGAGCTGCGAGAGGAAAAAGGGGTAGCGACACATCGGAATGAGCGCGAGATTGTAGAGCACTCGGTTATCACGAAAAAGCTTGCAATCAACTAGAGCATAACTGCAAGCTTTTTCGTGATAGGACGGTGAAGCACTCGGTTGGCCACTCCCAGAGATACTGTCAGCAGTGCAAGTAGTAGGAGCTGATGGGGTAGAGGTAGGGCAAGAGAAGGAGAAACGAGAGAGGATGGGCGGGGCGGGATGAGGGAATGAGGGCGAGATTGTAGAACAATCGGTTGGCCACACCCAGATATACTGTCAGCAGCGCTAGTTCTAGGAGCTGATGGGGTAGAGATGAGATTTCGGGTTTGGGGTTTTTGGGTGGAATGAGCGCCAGCTTGTAGAGCACTGGGTTGGCCACTCCCAGAGACACTGTCAGCAGCGCTGCTAGCAGCATCTGGTGGATGGAAGAGGGGAAACGTATGGGAAAGAGGGCATGAGAAAGAGGGCATGAGAAAGAGGGTCTCGGATTGTATGGCACTCGGTTGGCCACTCCCAGGGATACTGTCAGCAGCGCTGGTAGCAGCAGAGCAGCCGGTGGAGGGGAAGGGAAAGGGGGGCTGTGGAGGATTCAACGGTAGGGAAAAGGGAGAGTGGCAGGGCGAGCTTTTGAGGCGGCTCACAATGCGAGCGAGTCAGAGCATATTTTGTCGACCTTTGAGGCGCTTTTAATGGGTGGGAGCGAGAGGAAGGGGTATTTAGAGAATGGGGCAGACCTCTAATCGACGTTGCCGGTGAGCGAGAGCAGCTGCTTCAACATCACTCTCCCCCACCCCATCTGCCGCTCCCTCGCTTCCTCCTTCTCCTCCGCCTTCCACCCTTCCTCCAGCTGCTGCTCTTGCTGACACGCCTGCCCCAATGTTACTGCGCTGTCCCGTTGTTAATGAGATCCTTCCACGTGGCAGCCCTGATTCGCTACCGTAAGTGCGAGTTGGAAGCTGACTTGGTTTGAAGCGTAGTGCAGCGTCTGGGCGGACAATGGACAAGGAGGCTCGAATCGCGGCGGAAAAAGATGCTTCTGCACTGCTATTGGCGGACGGAAGCGCGATTACTGGGTCAGTACGCGAAAAATCAGCAGCCGGCAAGAGAGCTGCTTCGCGGCTACTAATGGCGGACGAGGCGCGCTCCTGTCGGGGTGACACGTGGCGAATTTGGTACGGCATGTGACTGCATCGAGAGTCGAGTCGGATTGTGGCGCTGGTTATCCCAGCTGGCCTTGCAATTCCCGTGAAAACAGGAATGCCAGGACTGCGAATAGCAGAAGCAGCGACCGCATGCGCCATGGGAAAATAAAGTAACTACGATGATCGAGAGGGCCTCTGGTTGACGTTTGAAGATCTCTCGATTGTCTGTTGGAATAAAATTCAAATTTGCAGGCAGCAGTTTCAGAGGGTTCAAATTTCCTGATGGAGGAGACATGAATGGCATTGTTTCACATTGAGTGACTGGTTATAAGCATTCTGTAGTGGGTTGTGCAGTTACGTAATGTTTCTGCCGCGGTTTGCCTAGTCGCCGGCGCGAAAGCGCACGTGGTAGCCGACACCCACACCGAAATGGACCTGTGGAAATGAGCACCGAATGCCCGCAGTCATCTGCCCGCGGGCACAAAACTCTCCTCTTCCATATGATAATTGACTCGAATAGGTTAAACCCGCCTGGTCCCCGCATTCTAGTTGATGTATCCATAACCAGTCACCCCACTTTTACATCCCTGATCATGTTTTTTCGCCACTCCGATTTGTTCGTAACGCGTCCTTATCAGAAGTGTTTCGTGGGAAGGAATGAAAAACTTTGGTTCGGAACAATAGGATGCCTAGCCACCCTAGTCATGGTCACGGCTCGTAATAAGACCAGGTTGCTCGAGGGACCGCGTGTCTCCGAGCGATGCTTTACAGTAGTTTTTTCCCAACGCTAGCGGACATTGGATCGTTGGGTGCAGATAATTTTCACGAGAATATTATAAGCCAGAACAGCAAGCTGGACGCGACAGAAGCTGATATCAAAGAGATATGACGAGATGAAATGCGTCTCAAATGGCAAACGCCCGTAACACAACGTGACAGGCGACTAGGCTCTTGGGATTGGTTTGAGCAGGTTGAGCGTTTGCGCTAAGTGTCGTAACGATTGTCGTTGCTGCCCGAGCAAACCTCGCAATACTTGTTCCATCTGTTACAGATTGTTGACGATAACGCTGTTACCCAAGAATGACGTGTTCAGGCATCCTTTTGTCCGACCCCACATCAGAAGCAAATTCATTCGCGAAAGACGCTCAGTGGCAGCCATAAGTCGCGTATTGTCCTGCCCTCCTTATAATCGAACATGTATATATGACTCAGGTGACAACACCTCATACAAACATCCCGCTGTTACTAGTTATCTTCCATTTATGATACATGTGTTAGTACCGTATGTTTTAAAGCACTGCAGAATCCACAGCCAGTACCGCAAAACATGCACGATGTACATGTATAACCGTTAGCAGGCCATTATGAGGATATGAGTTTGTAGATGAACAATGTGTGGGCCCACATTGCCATCTCACCATATCTCCTGTTGCAGCCAGGGGCTCGCCTCTACGGTTTGAAGTGGTAACTAATTGCATGTGACTGTAGATGTGCCGTGACATTGAGACTCTCCACCATGGGCTCGCCTCTACTGTTCACCATCACCACACACATGCCCCCATTGTTGACGTCCATTGCCCTGAACCTGGTATGGGGGCAGTGAAACAAGTGCGGGGTAACAGAAAGCGAGGGAAGGGAAATGTTGTGGAAAAAAGGGGCCTGATAGAGAAAGACAAGGGGAATACTGAGAAATGTGAGAGAGAAAGGGGAAGACAGTCTGAAGCATACTATATCAGACACCATGCGTAATGGTCTGGGATCACTAGGCTCAGAAGTGGAAACTTGTATAGCGAGGGTGTTTTTGAGACGTCTTAAAATCACCAGGCTCAGAAGTGGAAACTTGTTGTGACATCCTCTTCCCCAAGGTATTTGACTGTGCTTTGAGTCGACTCAAAACACACTAGTTGTGACATCCTCTTCCCCAAGGTATTTCACCCCGTTTAACCCTCCTGGGATCACTCAAAAGCCCCCCCTCTCGTCCCCATAACAGAAAGCACAGAACATTTCCTGCAAAAAACAAAATCTAACCCTCCTGGGCGCATTTAAAATCTCTTACTTGTCAGGGCCCATGCCAAGAGCAGTGCAGAGCAGCGCTCTCAACAGGGACTTGTGTGTGACGACCAAAATCTGAGAGCCCTGCATGGGATGAGGGCAGGGCGCAATGGCAGCATGTCCTTGAGATTGTCATACGAAAGGGATGACGTGAATGGAAGAGCAGAGCAGTGCAATGCCGAGCAGAGCAGCTCTCTCAGCAGGGACTGGCAGCTCCCTGCATGGGAGGACGGGCAGGAGCACAAGTGGCAGTGGTAGTAGCAGTGGCAGGAGCAAGGGCAGTGGCAATCGCAGGGCTTCACAACAGAACAAAGATCTCAGCAGGGCAATGCAAAGCTCCCAGCAGGGCAATGCAAGGCTCCCAGCAGGGCAATGCAAGACTCTCAGCAGGGCAATGCAAAGCTCTCAGCAGGGCAATGCAAAGCTCTCAGCAGGGCAATGCAAAGCTCTCAGCAGGGCAATGCAAAGCTCTCAGCAGGGCAATGCAAAGCTCACAGCAGGGCAATGCAAAGCTCTCAGCAGGGCAATGCAAAGCTCTCAGCAGGGCAATGCAAAGCTCTCAGCAGGGCAATGCAAAGCTCTCAGCAGGGCAATGCAAAGCTCTCAGCAGGGCAATGCAAAGCTCTCAGCCGAGACTTGTGTGTTTCGAGGACTTATGTGTGTCAGAGCCCTGCATGGATGGACTCCTGTGGTAGTACAGCTCGTTACTGTCACACTCACTGGGCTCTAAGCAGCTCTCGCCACGTATCTCTAGCCTGGTCTTACAGCTGGTACACTGGAAACATCCCATCCACATTACAGCAGAAAGCTTTTGAGACGTCTCAAAACACTTCTGTTTTCCCACAGCTGGTACACTGGAAACATCCCATCCACATTACAGCAGAAAACTACTCTGTGTAATACCACTCGCCATAGTACCACTCACAGGGCTTTCTAGCAGTTCTCGCCACGTGTCTCTAGGCTGGTCCCACAGCTGGTGCACCAGAAGCACCCCATTCACACTAAATCAGGAAAATACTCAGTATAATACCATTTGGTACAGTAACCTTCGTTACTGTCACACTCACAGGGCTTTCAAGCAGTTCTCGCCACGTGTCCCTAGCCTGGTCCCACAGCTGGTGCACCAGAAGCACCCCATTCACACTAAATCAGGAAAATACTCAGTATGATACCATTTGGTACAGTAACCTTCGTTACTGTCACACTCACAGGGCTTTCAAGCAGTTCTCGCCACGTGTCCCTAGCCTGGTCCCACAGCTGGTGCACCAGAAACACCCCATCCACCTTAGAACAGAAACATGCATGTTATAGTACCAGGAACCTTCGTTACAGTCACACTCACTGGGCTTTCTAGCAGCTCTCGCCACGTGTCTCTGGCCTGATCCCACAGCTGGTGCACCGGAAACACCCCATCCACACAGAAGTTCGCCGGATCTTCTCGCCAGGCTCGGAACAGGTCCGGATACAGCCGCTTAGCTTCGGCTGGAGGTTCGGCAAGAGCAGTGAAGAGGAAGCAGGGGCAGCGGGTGAGAAGCAAAGGGAATAAGAGTGTTGGAAAAGATGACAAGAATAAAGCAGGAGAGCCACACAGGAAGCGCAGGTAGGCCTCACTCACAAAGCTAGCTCGTTACAGTCACAATATATATCCCCCTTATAACAAGCCCTGCCCTGCCACTCACAGTTGAGCATGCCTTCAAGAAAGTGCAGGTGGGCCTCGCTAAGGGAGTCCAGGAACACCAGAGGCTCCTTGCGCCCCTCCCAAATGATCTCCGCGCTGCTCTGATGGCAACAAAGCGCAAGTGGGGGTTTGGGGGGGGAGAAGGGGTCGAATATGAGAGGGCTCCTTGCGCCCCTCCCAAATGATCTCTGCGCTGCTCTGATGGGGGGTGAGTACGCGAGGGGAAGCGGATAAGAGGGGAGTGGGGGGTTGGGTGGTTGGGGATATATTAGACGCAACCTCCAGAAACACGAGAGGCTCCCTTGCGCCCCTCCCAGGTGATGCACTGCTCTGATGGGGGGGGAGAACGTGGGGGGAAAGGGGGATAGCGGGGAGTGTGAGGGTGGGGAGATTTGAAATGCAAACTCCAGAACTACGAGAGGCTCCTTGCGCCCCTCCCAGGTAATGCACTGCTTTGATGGGGGTGACGCACTCGCCCCACTCTGCTCTCCTCCTCCCCTGCGTCAATCTGACTCATCTGCATCTTATTTTGGCTCGCGGGGCTAGATTAGCAGCAGTCGAAATGCCTTTGAGTCGACTCAAACGTCATCCCGGCTTTGTACTCGCCCCACTCTGTCCTGCGTCCATCTGACTCACCTGCACATCTGCATGTCTTACCTTCCTCCCCTCCCTCATCCATAAATCCCAGCACGCCTCACCTTGCACATCTGCACGTCTCACCTTAGCCCGCGATATGGAACTAGAGTAGCAGCAGTCGAAGTGCGTATTCCTTAAAGCCTCTCTGCATCGCAGCGCCTGGATCTCCCCAGTCGCCGACAGAACAGACTCATGAACCCAGCCCTGAATTTGTCCCTCTTTTATCCATACCCCAGCATGCCTTACCTTGGCTCGTGATATGGGGCTGGAGTAGCAGCAGTCAAACTGAGTATCCCTCAGCGCCTCTCTGCACCGCAGCGCCTGGATCTAGCCAGTCTCCAACAGAACAGACTCATCAGCCCAGCCCTGAGTCTCCGCCTCCTTCATCCATACCACAACAGCGTGCCTTGCCTTGCACGTCTGCATGTCTCACCTTAGCTCGAGAAATCGGACTGGAGTAGCAGCAGTCGAAGTGGGTATCCCTCAGCGCCTCTCTGCACCTCAGCGCCCGAATCTCGCCAGTCTCCGACAAAACAGACTCATCCGACCGGCCCTGGACTCTCCCCTCCGCATTCCACGAGCTCAGCCCGTGCCTGATAAGCACAATGCGCTTCTCTCCCCTCCTCCTCTCCTTCATCCCTCCCACACCATACCCGTCCTTTGCCTCACCTTTGCTCGCGAAATCGGGCTGGAGTAGCAGCAGTCGAAGTGCGTATCCCTTAAAGCCTCTCTGCATCGCAGCGCCTGGATCTCGCCAGTCTCCGACAGAACAGACTCGTCCGACCGGCCCTGAACGCGCCCCTCTGCGTTCCACGAGCTCAGCCCGTGCCTGATCAGCACGATCCGCTTCTGCTGCCGAGCCTGCTTCGCCTGGCCCGGGCCTGCCGGGACAAGGGGCGACGTTGCTCCGGCGAACCCCAGGGATCCTCCTGTGAGTTGCAGCGTAGTGGCGATTGATGCGGCTGAAAAATGGTCTTCCCCTGCGACGGTGCGGTTGCCAGTGCTGCTGCTGCTGCTGGTGGTGGTGCTGCTGCTTCTGCTGTTCCTGTTGCTGGAGCTGCTACTCGTGTTGTTCCTTCGTGCTTGAGCCTCTTCCTCAGCTGCTGGTGGCGAAGCTGCTGCTGACGCGGACGCAGCAGTGACGGGAGCTGCAAGCAGAGAGGGAGCACGAGCATGAAAACACAGGGAATGCCTGTGTTAAAACTGCCTTATAGCATTCAGCAAAAGCATGAGTCAAGCACGAGGCAGGTCAAGCGGATTGATTTAGTACATGACTCCGTAAGATTGTTGATTGTGCTTGTTACCTGACTGGGACTGCGGAGAGGCTTCGGCCCGCACAGATGGACGGACGGATTTGACTGAACAGAATCGGGATCGAGAGGTTTTGAGAAAAGCCCTGCGGGGAGGCGCCGACGAGGTGTTTCCCTGCAAATAGACCGAATATGTGTTAAGGACCATCAGTATGGCGGGATAACGGAGTAATACACGCATGACGAAGTTACATGAACTACGAAGCGCTTGTAACGTTTGAACGCGTCACTGGACGAGTTGACTTTTAGTTGATCTCAAACTTCACATGAATCACGAACATTCCGTAGAGGTTGACTAGATGGACTAGTTGAAGGTAGAGTGAGAAGTTGGTGGGACGCGAGTCCAGCCATGAGTGGAACAAAGTGACCTTTGAGTCGACTTAAAAGTCGCCTCAAAATTTACATGAAACACGCACCTTCCATAGTGGTTAAAAAGCTTGACTAGTTGAACGGAGTGAGGAGTTGGTGGATTTTAAGTCGACTCAAGAGTCGGTCTCAAAAGTAACCTTGACACGAACCACGCACCTTCCATAGTGGTTGAAGGGCTTGACTGGATGACGGTAGAGTGAAGAGTCCAGTCATAGCTGGATGATTTCTTCGGGATACTAGCTGTGACAACTAAAATAGCAGAATATGTCTCAAGGTTGATAACTCCTGAACAAGGAAGTCGTATATTAACTGTGAGTATCGGCGAAGTGATGATAAATATTGTTGACTTTTTGTGTCCCTGAAACGAATCGCGGCAAAAAAAAGTGCTGAGCACTTCAAGCAAAATACCGCGAAGAAAACTGGACACAACCAGTAAATGGACGTTACGGAATAATTGTTGCTCGATCACTGCGGGGATCCCGATAGGAAACCCGCCGAGCTGATCTCAGTGCGATCGCGAATGAGCGATCGCAACGTGGTGACAGACAGTTTACTATTCAGGCATCATCTGCTGTTAGGCTGCTCAGTGCGAAAAAAATACTAATAGACTCACAGCGCAACAGATTCACGCACGAGCTTGTTTTGGAACTGCGACCCTCTCGTAGTTGACTAGAAAAACTCGAGCCCTAAAGTCAGAGTGGTTCGCCTAGGTTCTGAAAGTTTTCGTACGGTATGGTAGGTCCTTTCCGTTGTACATCAATTTCGCAGGTGATTCAAGGCAGCATGCAGACTCACTTCACTCACTCGTGTGAGATCACTCTAATACGGTTCAATTAGGTCAGGTAGGGTTGGACTCACAAACGGAGCTCTCCCGACGCGCTGAATGCCCTTATTCCCGCGATTTTCACGCCGACATTGGTCCTCAAATATTCCGGCCACGTCGGCTTCACATTGTGGCCAATCGGATTCTTTCCGCGCACGAAGGCTCCAGAGATACAGAAAGTGGAAGCATTTCGTTTTACGTTGTACAGCAGAAACTGTAATTTTGGTGCTTTAGTGAGAGGAGGTGAGCTTAAATGGAGTATAGTTCAGCACCAAAGGAAAGATGCCACTTGATCAGGAAGAGACGGTTTGATCAGGCTGGAACCTTCGGCTTTGTCTTCCGTTGTTGTACGTGATCATAGCAGCTTCCGTGTTTCACGGAATTCTGTCCTCCTAATATGGACCCGCCCTGCTCGTGTCACCATCTGGTTGTCTTCGCGTAGCAAAACTACTTCAGGCAGCTCTAGACGAAGTTTCAAGCTGATCGTCGGGTCAGCTCACAGTCTATCTGACCTTCTAGACTCTCAACTCTTCTCGCATCTCGATCGCATAGCGCCAGTAGCTACAGTCCCTTAGGACGTAGTGTGCATGTGACTTTAGGTCTCAAATATGTAGTGTACACCTCACTATTCAACTCACCATGTTAACCACTTTAAGACGAGGCACGTTAGCTCTTGCTAAGAGGCCAGCCGGGATCGTCGGAGCTCTCGTGCTGGGAAGCCTGGGTGCCGGCGGAGCCGCCATAGCAGCGACAGACGGCGGTTTGAAGACTGACAGCCGGCATGTTAAGCGGCTGATGCTTAGCGCAGATGGGATCGTGAGATCGTCAAGAGCCGTGGGAACGGTGAGTGAGGGGAGACTGGATGAGAAAATGGACGATCCGTGACTGCATATTCCAATAAAACGTTATTCCCTGATTAACGTGAGAGAGGGGAGACTGGAGAAGGGAAATGGCGATCCATGATTGCTTTCCACAATCGTTATTCCCTACGAGCGCAATTCTTTGATTGTGATGCCTGGAAGAAGGACACATATCCTTTTGCAGCTTGGCGTGTCAAGAATTAGTGACATTTTAAAGCCATATTGTTAATGTACGAATTGATAGCTGAACGTTTGTGATAGATAGTAAACGAAGAGCTGAAAGTGGTTTTATTGGCCACGTGGTTCGCTCCTCTGTTCCGTTCCTCCGTCATGCATTCCTCCCCTCATTTGCAGTTCGCTATTAACAGCATCGACTACAAGGTGTCGGCATTGACCAATTCATTGGATAAGCTCAAGAAAGAAGCGCCAGCAGAATATGCACGGATCCGGTCAGAGGTGGGTCTTAGACCGACTGAGAGATTATGGCTTTGATTCGACTCCAAAAGAGTAGCGCCAGCAGAATGTGTACGAATCTGGTCCCAGGTGGGCCTGAGACAGAATAAAATGTCATGTGAGGGCTTTTAGTGAGGGCTTCAAGTGAAGGTTCCCTTTCTTGCCCCCTTCCTTGCTTGATAGCTTGCTGGCTTCCATTCTTTTCTCCTTCCTTCCTTCCTCCACCCAACCCCTCTCACTCTATCCCTCACTCCACACCATCAGATCCACCAGCGATCAGCGGACAGGATTCTGCGGCTGTGCGAGGCGAATCGTGGAATCTACATCAAAGCAGGGCAGTTCATTGCCACTCTGCAGCAGCTGCCTCGGGAGTACCGCACCACCCTCACTGTGCTGCAGGATCAGGTGGAGTGAAAAAAATAAACCCTGAACCTTGAAGATTTTGCCACAAACGCCCAATCTGTGGTTTCGAGCCAAATTCCGGCATTGACATCAAAGCAGGGCAATTCATTGCCGCTCTGCAGCAGCTGCCTTGGGATTACCGCACGACCCTCACTGTGCTGCAGGACCAGGTGTGCTGAAGAAACCTAAACCCTGAACCTTGAACCTTATGCCACAAACGCTCAATCTGGGGTGAGGGATACTGGGAAATCTCAAGGCTATTCGTGGCATCTACATCAAGGCGGGGCAGCTCATTGCCACTCGGCAGCAGCTGCCTCAGGAATACCGCACGACCCTCACAGTGCTGCAGGATCAGGTGCTGGGAAAAGTTCTAAATTTTGAACTTTGAACCCTTTGTCATAAACCCTCAAGCTGGGGCAACTGGGAAATCTCGAGGCAAATCGTGGCGTTGGCGTTTACATCAAAAGGGGGCAGTTTTTTGCGACCCCTCGAAAACATGCATCACTGTGCTGCAGGATCAGGTACACTGAAGAAACCTGAACCCCACGCTTTTAGCCCGTTGTCAGAAATCCCCAAGGTGGGGTTAGAAGGATCGGGGGATTTCAAGCGCATGGGACATTCACATCAACGCACGGCAGTTCAAGGCTGGGGTGGGGGTCGTGTGCTCAGCTCAGTGTGATTGGCCGCGTGTGGAAGGACTTTTGAGGCGCCTCAAAATTCAGTTCAAGGCTGGGGGTCGTGTGCTCAGCTCAGTGTGATTGGCCGTGTGTGGAAGAAAGGATTATGAGAGACTTGCCTTGTTCACTGCTCTGCCCTGGCTGGTTCTTATTGCAGGCTCGGGGCCGTCCGTTTTATGTGATTGACCGTGTGTTCAAGGAGGAATTCGGCAAGAGTTCCAAGGAGATGTGAGTGTGGTGAGGGAGGTGTGCGTGTGGTGAAGGAGGTGTGCGTGTGGTGAAGGAGGTGTGCGTGTGGTGAAGGAGGTGTGCGTGTGGTGAGGGAGGTGTGCGTGTGGTGAAGGAGGTGTGCGTGTGGTGAGGGAGGTGTGCGTGTGGTGAGGGAGGTGTGCGTGTGGTGAGGGAGGTGTGCGTGTGGTGAAGGAGGTGTGCGTGTGATGAGGGAGGTGTGCGTGTGGTGAGGGAGGTGTGCGTGTGGTGAAGGAGGTGTGCGTGTGGTGAGGGAGGTGTGCGTGTGGTGAAGGAGGTGTGCGTGTGGTGAGGGAGGTGTGCGTGTGGTGAGGGAGATGTGCGTGTGGTGAAGGAGGTGTGCGTGTGGTGAGGGAGTTGTGTGTGGTGAAGGAGGTGTGCGTGTGGTGAGGGAGGTGTGCGTGTGGTGAAGGAGGTGTGCGTGTGGTGAGGGAGGTGTGCGTGTGGTGAGGGAGGTGTGCGTGTGGTGAAGGAGGTGTGCGTGTGGTGAGGGAGGTGTGCGTGTGGTGACGGAGGTGTGCGTGTGGTGAGGGAGGTGTGCGTGTGGTGAAGGGTGCGTGTGGTGAGGGAGGTGTGCGTGTGGTGAAGGAGGTGTGCGTGTGGTGACGGATGTGTGCGTGTGGTGAAGGAGGTGTGCATGTGGTGAGGGAGGTGTGCGTGTGGTGAAGGAGGTGTGCGTGTGGTGAGGGAGGTGTGCGTGTGGTGAAGGAGGTGTGCGTGTGGTGAGGGAGGTGTGCGTGTGGTGAGGGAGGTGTGCGTGTGGTGAAGGAGGTGTGCGTGTGGTGAGGGAGGTGTGCGTGTGGTGAAGGAGGTGTGCGTGTGGTGAGGGAGGTGTGCGTGTGGTGAAGGCGGTGTGCGTGTGGTGAGGGAGGTGTGCGTGTGGTGAAGGAGGTGTGCGTGTGGTGAGGGAGGTGTGCGTGTGGTGAGGGAGGTGTGCATGTGGTGAGGGAGGTGTGCGTGTGGTGAGGGAGGTGTGCGTGTGGTGAGGGAGGTGTGCGTGTGGTGAGGGAGGTGTGCGTGTGGTGGAGGTGTGCGTGTGGTGAGGGAGGTGTGCGTGTGGTGAAGGAGGTGTGTGTGTGGTGAGGGAGGTGTGCGTGTGGTGAAGGAGGTGTGCGTGTGGTGAGGGAGGTGTGCGTGTGGTGAAGGAGGTGTGTGTGTGGTGAGGGAGGTGTGCGTGTGGTGAAGGAGGTGTGCGTGTGGTGAGGGAGGTGTGCGTGTGGTGAGGGAGGTGTGCGTGTGGTGAGGGAGGTGTGCGTGTGGTGAAGGAGGTGTGCGTGTGGTGAGGGAGGTGTGCGTGTGGTGAAGGAGGTGTGCATGTGGTGAGGGAGGTGTGCGTGTGGTGAGGGAGGTGTGCGTGTGGTGAGGGAGGTGTGCGTGTGGTGGAGGTGTGCGTGTGGTGAGGGAGGTGTGCGTGTGGTGAAGGAGGTGTGCGTGTGGTGAGGGAGGTGTGCGTGTGGTGAAGGAGGTGTGCGTGTGGTGAGGGAGGTGTGCGTGTGGTGAAGGAGGTGTGTGTGTGGTGAGGGAGGTGTGCGTGTGGTGAAGGAGGTGTGCGTGTGGTGAGGGAGGTGTGCGTGTGGTGAGGGAGGTGTGCGTGTGGTGAGGGAGGTGTGCGTGTGGTGAAGGAGGTGTGCGTGTGGTGAGGGAGGTGTGCGTGTGGTGAAGGAGGTGTGCATGTGGTGAGGGAGGTGTGCGTGTGGTGAAGGAGGTGTGCGTGTGGTGAGGGAGGTGTGCGTGTGGTGAAGGAACCATGTGGTTGCGTCATCACTCAGAGTATTGCTCTGCACTCAATGCGCGTTCAAGGAGGAATTCGGCAAGAGTGCCAAGGAGATGTGGGTGTGGTGAAGGAGGTGTGCTGTGCAGTGGGGGTGTGTCAGTGCGAATCATGACAGTGCATGACCGGCTCAAAACGTTGCTGTAATAGGTTATCGTGCATTCATCATCGCTTCTGTTTTGTGCTGCTTTGTGGCCCTACGGTGTCACTGTTGACCGTAGTGCCTTCTCAGCTTTGTACACTATAAGGAGGTTTGCGTTTCTTCAGTGATGCGACTCAAAAAAGACCTTTGTGTGCGTTACTTTGTGACTCTGTTGTGTTGCTGTTGTTGACCGTGCTGCCCTCTCAGTTTTGAGCATTTTGAGGAGGAGGCGATAGCAGCGGCATCACTAGCGCAGGTGCACCGAGCAACGCTGCCGTCAGGGCAGCAAGTAGCAGTGAAGGTATGTGGCTGTGTTGTATCACGTTGTGCATGTGTGTTTGTGTAAACGGGTGCGAGTGTTTGCATGCTGCCTCACGAGCACTGAGCGACACTGCCGTCAGGGCAGGGCAGCAAGCGGCTGTGAAGGTGGGTGCTGCATGTGTGGCTGAACGGTGTGTAACTGTATAGATGCATGGCTGTACGTAGCAACGGACATCTATGCCATGGGCTTCCTTACTCTTCCCAGCCCTTTGCTTTTTATCCCCCGCAACCCATTCTCACCCCATTCCGCTTCCCTCTCTCTCACACGTTCAGGTGCAGTCCCCACGTCTGGAGGAGCAGGTAGCAACGGACATCTACACCATGGGCTTTCTCTCATCCCCTGCACCTCCCTCTCTCATCCCCTTAAGCTTTTCGTCTTCAGGTGCAGTACCCTCGCCTGGAGGAGCAGGTAGCAACGGACATCTACACCATGGGCTTTCTCTGATCCCCTGCACCTCCCTCTCTCATCCCCTTATGCTTTTCGTCTTCAGGTGCAGTACCCTCGCCTGGAGGAGCAGGTAGCAACGGACATCTACACCATGGGCTGGGTTAGTCTCCTTCCTGTCGGTTCGTTATTCGCTCCCAGCCCACTCTTTCCCCACCTGCCTCCCTCCCCTCTCTCGTTCTCTCAGGTGCAATATCCACGGCTGGAGGAGCAGGTAGCAACGGACATCTACACCATGGGCTTTCTCTCGCGGGCTGTCAAATGGGTGAGTCTTGACGCTGTTCAGACGTTTTACTCGTTTTGAGTCAAGCATATGGCAAGCGGTTAAGAGACTTGCCCGCCAATCATTTCCCTGTTTCCCACTGTTTCTGCTTGAATGTACCACGGGTCACTGGTCATGAAGAAGAGCTGCAGTGACTATCTTTCTTTGCTAAGGCGATCCTTCACGCTGCAGCTCTTCTTCATGACCAGTGACCCATATTTCCCACTGTTTCTGCTTGAATGTACCCATCATGGCACTAAGGTCAGGAAACTAACGTCGAATCTACCTATGCTGTATAGGCGCACCCAATGCACTAAGAGGCGCACGTATTAGGTCCACCCAAGCCAATGCATGCTTTCCTCTTTCCTTCTCGCTTGCTGTTATGCCTTCCTGTTGCCTCTTCCCCCGCGCTTCCTTTCTCCTCTGCTGATATATTGTCTGCTGCATGTTATGCCTTCCTATTGCCTCGCGTCCTTGTGTATCGTGCAGATATTTCCAAACTACCAATTCAGCTGGATCGTGCCTCAGTTTCAGGAGAACCTTCAGCAGCAACTTGGTGCGTGCAAGTGTCCATCCTTCGCCTACCTACCCTTGTGTTTTCTGACTCGACTCGAAAGAAGCGTGGCTATCGCTGTATGTAAATCAGGCAATGGGTACATACTTCTGGAACGTGCCTTGGTCCTCACAGACAACCTGCAGCAGCAACTCAGTTCTCCATGCTCCTGGATCGTGCGTGTGTCCGTTCTTGCCACACCCTTGTGTTTACTTATTCAACTCTGGAGCCAAATTCGTGCCTGCAGAGTTTTCTTTTTTTGAATCCCCTCTGAAGTTGTAGCTTCTTCTCTTATCCCATCCGTCCCTCTTGTTTGTCCTCGTGATTGCTAACTTTCAGACTTTGAGAAGGAGGGGCGCAACGCAGAGCTGACAGCAGAGAACTTTGCGCACAAGGAGGAGGTCAAAGTGCCCAAGATCCTGTGGGTGAGAGCTGGGAGGTCGTTCCTGTGTGTTTGACGGGTATTTATGAGGATATCCAGGGTTCCTGTGCACAAGGAGGAGGTCAAAGTGCCCAAGATACTGTGGGTGAGAGCTGGACATGAGTTGCTGTGGTCTGCGTTGTGCCGGTGTTTGTGTCAGCTCTGTGTCATGGTTGAATCGTGAGAGTTTCGAGGAGCCGCAAAAGGTTTGGGGTCTGGCTGTGTGTTCTGGCGCCGTGTGTGTCTGTGTCTGTGCTAGCTCTGCTTCATGATTTGTTCTTGCTGTGTGTCCTGAAAGTCAATCGTCATAATCTCCCCTTTGTCTCCCCCTTCTCGTTCTTTTTTGAGTCGACTCAAAAATCAACTCGCTACAATGTCACACAGTCAATCGTCATAATCTCCCCTTTGTCTCCCCCTTCTCGTTCTTTTTTGAGTCGACTCAAAAATCAACTCGCTACAATGTCACACAGTCAATCGTCATAATCTCCCCTTTGTCTCCCCCTTCTCGTTCTTTCCCATCACCAGGACTTCACCACCAAGAGAGTCCTGACAATGGAGTTTATGAACGGGTGCAAGGTGTGTTTTATGTATGCACTGTGTATCACGTGCTGACTTTTGAGACGTCTCAATAGTCGTTTTATGTATGCACTGTGTATCACGTGCTGCTGCTCCTCGTCTCGAGTCCCCAACCCTGGCAGTTTTAGAATACGCTAATAAAATACCCCACACTGGAGAGCATTGCAAAGCTCTCAGCCCTAATTCCATTGGCCCTCCTTATTTGCAGATTATTCCTTCCTTTTCCTCTTCGCCCACCTTATTCTTCCCTTTCTCCTCAGATTGACGATTTGGAGGGGATCAAGAAGCAGGGCCTGAACCCCCTAGAGGTACGTGAATTCGTGCTCCAATCATTAGGCAATTCATGAGGTAAGTAGATGCATGCTGGTGAGTTTTGAGTCAATTCAAAACGCTCTCAGCTCAGATTGACGATTTGGAGGGGATCAAGAAGAAGCAGGGCCTGAAGCCTCTAGGGGTACGTGCATTCGTGCACCAGGTAGTTAGGCAAATTCCGATGCACATACATTTGGTGTGCCGGAGTGTTTCGAGTCGACTGAAATCCCTCTCTTGTTGACGGCTCTGGAGGGGCATAAAGAATGTTGTCGCTCTAACCCTCTAGAGGTATTGAACACTGGTCAGCACGGGTCAGCCATGCACACAACTCGATTATTGAAAGCAATGCATTGGGCATGATCTTGCAGAGCCTCCTTCCCCCTGTTACCTCTTCTCTTCCCATAGTGCCTTCTTTTGGTCGTCTCTCCCCACTCCCCTCCCTTCCCCTCGTCAGGCGGCGGCAAGAGACGGTCTTTTGCCATGACCAACCCCACCCCTCCCCTCCCCTCCCTCCTTTCCCCTTATGCGCAGGTGGCGGCGCTGCTGGTGGAGGTGTTTGCAGAGATGGTGTTCTGCCACGGCCACCTGCACGGGGACCCCCACCTTATTGTGCTCCCCTCTCCCCATGCCCCTCCCCCTCTTTCTCCCCTCATTCCCCTGACTTTCCCCTTTGCGCAGGTGGCGGCACTGCTGGTGGAGGTGTTTGCGGAGATGGTGTTCTGTCACGGCCACCTGCATGGGGACATTTGCTCTTCCCATGGAACCCCCTCCAAACCCTGAAACTTAAACCCTGACTCCAAAACCCCATCAGGTGGCGGCGCTGCTGGTGGAGGTGTTTGCAGAGATGGTGTTCTGCCACGGCCACCTGCATGGCGACCCGCACCCGGGCAATGTGCTCATTCAGGCACACGCACCAGGCACCACCAAGCCTGGGCAGCGGAAGTTCGATATTGGTGAGTGAGGATGTGTGATAGGATATTGGGCACTGGTGGTTGTCGCGTCTTCTCACCCACCTGCATGGGGACCCCCACCCCACACGGGCAATGTGCTCATCCAGGCACAAGCCTGGACACAGAAAGTTGAGTCGATTTTTTAGTCGACTCAAAAATCGACTGTGCTCATCCAGGCACAAGCCTGGACTCAGAAAGTTTGACATAGGTGAGCGCGTGTGGTAGTGTGTTGGGTATTGGTTATTATTGACGCTTCTTCATGTCCCCCTGCCTGGGGAACTCACACCCACCCCCATTGGGGCAATGTGCTCTCCCCTCCCTCACATCACAATACCCATGCCTTCCATCCCCCTCCCCCTCTCATCTTCCCTCCTCCCCTTCCCCCCCCCGTCACAGTCCTGCTGGACCATGGGCTCTACAGGGAGATGGACGACGGCTTCAGAAGGGATTTCTGCCAGCTGTGGCGCCCACTCATTCTGTCGGTCCCCTTTACCTCTCTCTCGCTCTCGTTCCCCTTCCTCCTGTCACAGTCCTCCTGGACCATGGGCTCTACAGGGAGATGGACGACGGCTTCAGAAGGGACTTCTGCCAGCTGTGGCGGTCGCTCATTCTGACGGACATGGGGGGGGTGCAGCGGTGGGGGGAGCGGCTGGGCGTGGGGGAATATTCAAGGTTCCTGCCTGCGCTCTTCACTGCAAGACCCTTCCAAAGGTGGGCGTCCAATGGAGCCCCACTTAGGGAGCGTCCAAAGTCAGCTGAATATTCAAGGTTCCTGCCTGCGCTCTTCACTGCAAGGCCCTTCCAAAGGTGGGTATCTGGCGGGCATGGGAGGGCCGTGTTGAAAGGACAGTGACTGTAGAGAGGGGCTCTTATATGGAGGGCCCTTCTGTCAGCTGCGGTGCTCGCTCGTTACTGTCGGTTCAAGTTTCCTTTCTGTGCTCCTCATTGCAAGACCCTCCCAGAGGTGAGTGTTACAAGGGAGTAAAGCGATGTGGGTCTTGCTTGCCATCCTCCCCTGCTCTCATTCTTCCTCTTACAGATATGCACCCTGCTTCCGTTTTCCCCCAGCACCAACATGCGATGGGGGCAGCGCATGTCACCTCACCTGAAGTGGACAAGAGTTTGAGCTATCAGCCCTTGGTTTTCGACTGGTTCCCATCTTCTCCTGCTCTCACTCACTCCTCCCCGCTATCACACAGCATAACGCGGCGGGGGCAGCACATGTCACCCAAGGAGGAGAAGATTCTGATGAAGGAGATGAAGGCGATCAGCCCGCAGAACCTGACAGGTTCCCATGCTGTCTTCCCCTCTCCTCCTTCCATTGCTCCCCTTAACCATGCAGCAAGACGCAGTGGGGGCAGCGTATGTCACCGGAGGAGGAGAAGAGTCTGAGGAGGGAGATCAAGGCCATCAGCCCGCAGGACCTAATCGTTCCCCGTTGTTCTCCTCCTCTCGTTCCCAACATTCTGTTGTACCCAACCAGCAAAACGCGGTGGGGGCAGCGCATGTCACCAGAAGAGGAGAAGAGCCTGCGGAGGGAGATCAAGGCCATCAGCCCGCAGGACCTGACGGCGTTGGTGGAGGGGCTGCCTGAAGACATGTTCCTGGTCATGCGCACCGAGTGAGTGTTGGTTGGGGTAAGGGGTGGATTACCTTTCGTCCAATAAAGAGCAGACATTGCCTCTGCCCACAGGACCTGACGGCGGTGGTGGAGGGGCTGCCTGAAGACATGTTCCTCGTGATGCGCACCGAGTGAGTCGGGGAGAAGGCTGAAGTGGTTGTGGTAGTAAGGAAGGTGGTGGGAGGTCGTGGAGAATGGGCTGGTGGAGTGAGGCGGAGAGAGGGAGATACAGGTGGAGAGAATGGACGGGTATGGGGAGATCAAGGCGATCAGCCCGCAGGACCTGACGGCGGTTGTGGAGGGGCTGCCTGAAGACATGTTCCTGGTCATGCGCACCGAGTGAGTGTTGTGAGGGATGGAGAGACAGTTGTAGCTTGAAAGGTATCTTGAGCACTAGAGAGCAGTCATTGCATCAGCCCCCATTGCCTGACAGCCGTTGTGGAGGGGCTTCCCAAGGACATGTTCCTGGTGATGCGCACTAAGTGAGTGAGTGAGTGAGGGATGGAGAGACCGTTGTAGCTTGAAAGCTATCTTGTGCACTAGAGAGAGCAGTCAGTCATCGCCTCCAGGACCTGACAGCCGTGGTGGAGGGGCTTCCCAAAGACATGTTGCTCGTGGTGCATTGTATTGCCATTGACACACCGAGTGAGTGGCAACTGCTTGTATTGTATTGTACGTGAAAGAAGGAGTGTTTTGAGACGTCTCAAAAGCCACGTGAAAGAAGGAGTGTTTTGAGACGTCTCAAAAGCCACGTGAAAGAAGGAGTGTTTTGAGACGTCTCAAAACACTCCTTCTTTCACGTGCTCGTGGTGCGCACCGAGTGAGTGGTAATTGCTTGTATTGTATTGCGTGCATTAGCGAGCAGTTATTGCCGGTTTTTGAGAATTCTCAAAAACCTCTGAAGAAAGATGGACCTGATGGCCATGGTGGAGGGGCCGCCGAATGACATTCTCCTGGTGGTGTGCATGTAGTGAGTGGAGGGGAAAGGGTGTGAGGGAGGGTGTATGAGGAGCAGTGAGTGTGTGAGCGGCGTTGACGCTCTGAGTTTTTTAAGCCGAAAATGAATGTTTGCTCATTCACATCCCCCCATTCCGCCTGTTCCTCTCCTGCCATGCGACTCTCTCCCCTCCCAGCAACCTCGCCCATCACAGCGCTGGGAGCAACACCCAAGCTGAAGGCTTTGGAGGTATCGCAGCAACCTAATTCACCTTTCCTTGTGCCCTTGCCTCCCTTCCCCTGCCCCGTGTCTCCCCTCCCAGCAACCTCATCCGGCAGCACATCACAGCGCTGGGAGCGACGCCCAAGCTGATGCTCTCAATCAATAGCAACCTTCTCATTTCCCCTCCCTGTGCTGATCGTACCTGTCCTGCTCTCTGTCTCCCCTCCCAGCAACCTCATTCGGCAGCACATCACAGCGCTGGGAGCGACGCCCAAGCTGAGGCTGCAGATCAACGGACGGTTTGCTGTGGCAGGGCTGGCTGTACGGCACTCTGAAGAAGGTGAGGCTTGATGGCGGGTAGTCGGAACAAGGTGGGTGGGTGTGTGTTGGCAGTGCAGTCGTTGCACATGCTTGCTCAAACAACTGTAGTAGAAGGGCATGCTGTCTGCTGGTCTTCTGTTGAAAGGTTTATTTCTGAGTCCACTCAAAAATAGGCTCATCGCACACGGATTATATGTTGAGAGAATATTTGTTGCTTGGACCGGACCCGACTACCAATGATGACAACTGTAGCAGAAGGGCATGCTGTCTGCTGGTCTGCTGTTGAATGCTGAGGCTGCAGATCAATGGGCGGTTCGCTGTGGCTCAGTTGACCGCAGCTGGACTAAGTGACTTTTGAGTCGACCCAAAAGTCACTTTGTTTTGAGTCGACTCAAAAGTCACTTTGTTTTGAGTCGACTCAAAGATCAATGGGCGGTTCGCTGTGGCTCAGTTGACCGCAACTGGACTGGCACGTTTGCACCTGGTCCTGGACCCCACTCTGTTTTGAGTCGACTGAAAACAAAGCACGGCTCCTTCTGAGTCGGCTCAAAACAAACCACGGCTCCTTTTGCGACGACTCAAAACACAGGCACGTTTGCACCTGGTCCTGGACCCCACTTTGTGTTCGCACCCATTGTCGCACCCCGTCTGTCTCCTTCAGGCCACCTGACATCCAACCTGGCAGCTTACCTGAGAGCACAGCTAGACTTGGCGCATTTGATGCTCAGAATTCGTAAGTCTTAATCTTCTCACTTCACTCCTCACGTCCCTCTTCACTAACCTCATTTCCCTCTAGATTTCTCTCCATACTTACCCTCCTCACTGCAGACTGTTATGCATGTTTCTTTCTTCAAATCTTCTCACTTTTCTGCATGTTCTACTTCGCATATTCTACCTTGGCTTCTCTTTTTGTTGTTCAACTCAGGGGCATGGGAGGTTGCCCAGACAATAATCGACTTAGTGGTTCGCTTAAAGCACTATTTGGATTTGGAGTACCTTAGGTGGCGGCAAGCTCTCATAAATGTGTTAGTCTCTTTGAACCTAGCAGATGATAAGGCAAGAATGCTTCTGTATTAGGCCTGATAGCCGCTATTGGAAAATGCTTAGATTTCCTTACACTGTACCTCAAATTTTAGTGAACGGCTGCAGGTACTGTGAAAGTGTATTTGAGCGAAGCGAGACCATCATCCCTGTTATGCTTGTACCGAGGAATTCCGAACACTAATTTTCAAGCAGCAGCTCTGATTTTGGTGATGCACCTGTACAACCACGTAGACCTACGTTGCACGGAAGGCCATTCTGTAATTATTGCTGCCAGCCAGCCACGTCGCAAAGCGTCGCCACCACGGCATTGAGCTACTAAATCGTGGTTTCGCGTCGCGATTCGGCGACCTTAATGGCACTTCCTGCCGCCTCAGTCGCGGTATTAGGAGCATCCAAATACCGCCCTCCTACACTAACTTCAAGCACGCGTCGGACCGCTCCCGCTGGATATTTACGCAGGAACTCGCGGACCAGCTACCGCTCCACGTGCGCGAGGGTACCGGTCAGTCAATGTAGTCAACGCAGTCAAAACAGGCCGGTAGTGCACAGTGGAAGAGAACTGGCAACGCTAAGCATTGCTGAGGCGCCTAGGAAATCGTTCCACCTATCGCAGCGTAATGATGACGGTACGACGGGAGAATTCTCGCGCCACAGCAGCGACAACCTAAGGACCTCCGCGGCTCGGGCTGCTGACGAAGACTCGCGGCGCTCCACACAGCTCGATCGAAATCTCTTCGATCTTTTACACCAATCGGATTCTTTTCCCACGTCGCAATCTCTCCTCGTAACGGCAGCGTCGTTGACAGCGGCGGCGGCGCTTGTCTTCTTGCACGTAGACAGCGCCGCAGCCGCCGCTGACGCTACCGCCGCCGCCTCAGCCGCCATTGCTGGTGGCGACGCGGCTGCCGCCGCCACCACGTGGACCAATCCCCTTCAACAGGTCGTGGCGGCGGTCGAGCAAGGCGGCGACGCGGCCGGACCGCTCGGCGGCGCCGTCTATTTCGCCGCCGCCTACGCTATCGCCGCCGTCCTTCTAGTCCCCGCTTCCATCCTAACCCTCGCGGCGGGCTACCTCTTTGGAGCCGCGCGCGGCACGGCGATCACTCTAATCGCCGCGACGCTCGGCGCGTCGGTGGCGTTCCTCGTCGCGCGGTACGCGGCGCGGCCGTTCGTGGCGCGGCAGCTCGCGGGGCGGCTCGGGGAAGGGCGGTTCGAGGCGCTGGATCGCGCAATCTCAGTGGGCGGGTGGCGTATTGTGCTGCTGTGCCGACTGTCGCCTATTTTCCCATTTTCCATCTCAAACTACGTGTTTGGTATCACAGGTAAGGTCTGATTGATGCTCCTGTGCTGAATATAACCTATTTGCCCGTTCTCACTTGGAATTGCAGGTTCTGACCAGTTTTTAGTATTAATTGCTCTCATAGGTATGTTTGCTCTTTCATTTGACCACCTCCCCTCTACCCCCTTTCACCCACCCCTGGCTGGACCCTCTCTTATCATGCTCCCTGCCACTTTCGCCTATGTCTATTTGGGGGGAGCAGGCCGTGTGGCACTCAATGCGGTTACCCTGCGACGACTCAACCCCCACACCTTCCCCTCCAATGCTTCCTGCGTCCCACTGTCCCCCACCCTGATACCAAGCATTGGGTTTTTTTTAGTACATGGCTGCTTCTTCTCTAGGTATGCCCCCTGCCACCTTCGCCTATGCCACCTGGGTGGAGCAGGCCGGGTTGCGTTCAATGCGGTTACCGTGTGACAACTGTAACCCCCACACATTTCATTCCAATGCATCCCCCAACCCCAATCCTCATGCAGGCATCGGGTTTTTCGAGTACATGGCTGCATCCTCGCTCGGCATGCTCCCAGCTACTTTTGCCTATGTCTACCTGGGCGGAGCAGGCCGTGTGGCTCTTGATGCGGTTACCGATGCAACCGTAACCACGACTGCTGCTGCTGGTGCTGGGTCTGGGTTGGATCCGGTGCAGGTGGGTTTGTATGTGGTGGGGGCGGTGGCAACGCTGCTGGTTACCAGAGAGGTTTCATCACGTGCGACCAAGGCACTGGAGGAAGCTGCTGCAGAAGCTTCTGCTGATGCTGCTGGGGCTGCTGCTGCTCCTGCTGCTGCTACTGATGGAAGGGTGGGTAAGGAGGAATAGATCTGCTGCTGCCGCTGATGGTGCTGCTGCAAGTGTTTTCCAATTTGGGTTGGATCTGGTGCAGGTGGGTTTGTAACCAGAGGGGTGGGGGCGGTGGCAACACTGCTGGTAACCAGAGAGGTGTTGTCCCAAGCTACTAAGGCTCTGGTGGAAGCTGCTGCAGAAGCTTCTGCTGATGCTGCTGGAGCGGCTGGTAGTGCTGTCAATACTGCTGCTGCTTCTGTTTCTGGGGCTGATGGAAGGGTAGGCAAGCAGAAGTAACCCTGCCTCTACTGCTGGTGCTGCTGCCAACGCTGCTGGCTCTGTTGCTGCAGCTGGTGGTGCTGATGCTGCTGGATCTGCTGCTGGGGTTGATGGAAGGGTAGACAAGCAGAAGTAACCCTGCTTTTACTGCTGGTGCTGCTGCCAACACTGCTGGTAACCCCTGTGAAACCAAGGCTTTGGAGGAAGCAGCTGCAGAAACTTCTTCTGTTGCTGCTAATGCTGGTGCTGGTGGTATTGCTCCTGCTGCCGGTGCTGGTGGTTCTGTTGCTGGGGCTGATGGAAGGGTATGCAAGCAGGAGTAACCCTGCTGCTACGGCTGGTGCTCCTGCCAGTACTGCTGGTAACCCCTGTGCAACCAACGCTCTGGAAGAAGCAGCTGCAAAAACTTCTTCTGGTGTTGTTAATGCTGGTGCTGGTGGTTCTGTTGCTGTTGGGAGCGTGGGGAAAGAGACGGGCCCAGCTGCTACGGTAGTTCTGTTGCCGCTGCTGCCTGTGCTGTTGTTGTATCATTATTTCTTCGTAATTATTACCTTGATGTATACGAGCTTGTTGCAACAGTTAGAATGAGTCATCATGAGCCATGGGCCATGACCACATGCTGCACCGCATGCCACATGCCCCAATATAACCCGGCATGCCCCAGCAACATACCCCCCAACCCCAACAACATGTTTCGTGCCCCAGCAAGCATGTCCCATTGTCCCTTTCTCAACATGTTACATGCCCCAACATGCCCTACCTACACTACATGCTCATGTATCAAGCGCCTAGTGGAAGAGCTGTGCCGTGCAGTCCACAATGCAAGCAACGCACACACCCCAACCCAATGCATCATGGCCTGTGGATTATTCCTCGTTATCCTTCATACAGCTTCGTAAGCAGAAATATAAATTATGCGTATTAAAACGTAAGACACACACAGGGCAAGCACAAGAAAGCGAAACGGGTACAGTACAGCCTGCCATCCGTCCCCACAGTGAGCACTGAGCAGGCGGATGGATGGAAGGCTGTACAAGCCAGGAAACGAGCAAGCCTGTAAGGGGTACAGCCTGCCATCCATCCCCACAGCCAGAGCGGGTGGATGGATGGAAGGCTGTACAAACCTTGATCTAAAGGCACACCCGATAGAGTGAGACTCCCTCTCTTCAGTAAACTCCCTTCCCCTCTCCAGGGAATGGTTTCCCCCTCCTCTCAGCCGCTGCTGCGTTATGAGCGAATCCTTTATAACCCCAATGTTTCCACCTTCACGCCTCACCAAAGCGTGGGCAGGTCACCAAAAGCGAAATCCTCAATCTTGAGATCCCGGAGATGCGGCATCGCCATCTGCATGCCCTCACCATTCCCCCCTTCTTCAGCTTGGGTCAAATCCGTTGGATTCGCGCTCTGCTGCTCACAGGCTCGTTCTGGGAGCGTCTCGGGAATCTGAGCAGAAACCAATGTTGCGCTGTCAGCACCACCAGCAGCAGCGAAATTAGGGTTCGCCACGTCAGCAGGGGGTTCCTGAGAAGCGTCCAGAACGGGCTTGTAGATCACCTTGGCTCGGAACGGCCGCGCGTGAGAATGCACTCCGATATAAGTCACAAGCAGATTCGTGTGAGTCGCAGCTACACTCTCATCTTCAGGTTGTTCCGGGCAGCGTTCAATAACTCGCCTCGCCCCGCAACCATCCTTGCTACACCTGAAATAACTCCTTTCGTAAGGACTCGCTTTTATCGCCTTCTGACCGTACTTTCGCCAGCGGTAACCATCCTCCACGTCGCCAACCACATCCCGGCCAGTTCCCTCAACCTGCACGACTGTCATCGTAACCGTCTGTCCGTCTGCGTTTCCTCCCCCGCTTCCGCTTCCACTTCCGCGCCCTCCGCTCCCCCTTCCGCCAGAGTTTCCTCCAGTGCGCATCCTTTTCCCCCTACCGCCAGCAGGCGAAATGCTTCCAGAGACGTTACCACCCTCGTTAAACGCATTACCAGCACCTTTCGTTAGAGTCACAGAGTGCAGGCTCGGGGAAGACGGGCTGACAGTGATGTCAAATTCTTCCGTCGACCGGCGCTTATGACGGCTACCCGTGCTGCCGGCGCTTCCCGTGCTGCAACTTGACGGTTCGACAGCTATGGCTGACCCGCGCGTGAGAGCAGCTACAGCAGCAAGAGCATCGCTGGAAATTCCTGCAATCCCGCCGGTATTCCCGGAGGAGGATTGGTCATCGCACTCGTCCTTAGGAGCCGATACGGAACGGAAAAGGACCGCGCCAGCGTTTGCCGAGCCTGCTGCCAAGCCTGCCGCTGCTTCCGGAGCTCCCCTGTCCGACGCGGATCGGATCATATGCCCCCGAGCCACCTCAGCAGCGGCGGTGGCGGCGGTAACAACAGCGGTGGCGTTCACGGCAGCGGCCGCGAGATCGGCGGGGGAATACACCGGCGGAGACGCGGGGCGAGCGTTGGCTGCTTCCTCGGCTGCGGCGGCGGTGGCGGCGGCGGCGGCGACGCCCAGGCTGCTGTCCATCACGCCGGCGGCGACCGCCGCTTCGAGCACGGCGGTGGCGGCGGCCATAGCGTCGGAAGAGAGTGCGGAGACGAGGCGCGCGAGATCCTCGGTGCTCAGACTCTCCAGCAGCGCGAGTCCCGCTGCGGCGGATGCGGCGGCGGGATCAGCGGATGCGGGGAAGGCGGGGGAAGCGGCGGAAGGAGCCTGGGACTGCGGCTGCGGCTGCGGTTGCGCCTGGTGCGGCTTGACCGGGGAACGCGGGATTCCGCCACCGCCGCTGCTAAACCCGCCCATCTCCTCCGTCACCAAAACGCGCGCCCCTCCCGCACCGCCCTGCGACGCGGGGGAAGCGCGGCGGCCGGGGAGAGTCCCACGTGGGTGGTTGTGCTCCTCGCGGTAAACGATTTCCATCGTGCTGCCGTCTTCGGACGAACGCTCGACCGTCTTCTTAGCCGGGCAGCGGGGAACGGCGCAGCGGAAATACGCGCGCGGATACGCTGCGCCCTTCGCTGCTTTCTGCCCGTACTTACGCCAGAAGTAACCGTCATCCAGCGGCTCCGCGGCAGGCGACGCCGGAGAAGGCGCCGCTGTTCCCGCCTCTTCCGTGGCTACTGGCTCGAGCTTCGCAGCGATTGTTGCGGCGGGAGCGTCGAGAGGGACAGAGTCGGAAGCAAAAGCGTTCCCGGCGGTCGGCTTGGCCGGGGCGAACGGGATGGGAACGACGGAGGCCGGAGCGGCGACAGCGGCGGCAGGGCCGGTAGCGGCGGCGGCGGCGGAACTCGGCGGCTCGTCAAGGCAGCTGTCGTCGAGGTCACGGTGCGGCGAGGTCACGTCGACGCTATTCGGGCTCTGAATTTCCGGAAGCGCCTCGTCCATATCCTCGTCGGTCTGCGGCGCGGCAATCGACTCCGACGCCTGCGGCTCGGACTGCTCCTGTTGCTCCACCTGCGGCGCGGGCCATTGCTGCATATGCTGCTGAAACTGCTCGAAGAGCATCGGTGATGCGAGAGGCGCGGGGGACGGCAGCGGCCGGTTGGCAAACGCCTCGAACATGCCGGCAGCCGCCGGAGACGACGCGAGCGCGCGCTTGAGCTTCTCTCCCGCGGGGGAAGCGGCGATGGCGGCGGTGGCGGCGCAGCGCGGAGTGTAAAGAAGCGGAAGGAGGCTGGCGAAAAGATTCAACCCCTGCTCGCGCAGATCCGCGGGAGTTCCGGCGAAGGGGGTTCCCGCGCTGGGGAGAGTCCCCGCGGTAGGGAGGGTCGACGCAAGGCTCCCCGTGGCCGCGGATGAGAGGAAGGATGGGGGGAAGGATGAGGGGAAGCGGCGCTGGGGGATGGAGATCTCGAGGACTCCGCAGTCGTCTAGGAGCAGCTCTTCCAGTTGCGCCACGGGGAGGGAAGGCGGGGACTGCGCGGGGGCGGCGGAGGCGGCGGACGCGGGTGGGAGAGGGGTAGTGGTGGCGGCAGGAGCGGATGCGGACGAGGGGGAAGCGGGGGTTGCGGGGAAGCTTACGCCGGAAGAGGAGCAGTGGGAAGCGGAGGCAGCTGGAACGGCAGCGTCTGCGGTGGGTTGAAACCCGCTAGCTGCGCCGCAGTTGGTGGCGGGGGTGGTCTCCCACGCCGCTTGTGTCGCCACTGCTGTCGCCATGGCTGGCGCAGGGACTGTGTGCGCGGTAGCGGCCGTTGCGGCGGGGATTGCGGGCGCCGATGGCTGCTGCTGGGCCCAAATCCAACAGGGTGAAGCCTCGTCAGGGAGAAACTCGTCAGTGGCTGGTAAATCTAGCGCGGGAGGTAGTGGCCACGTGAACGGACTTTCACTCGTGGGAGGGGATCTGTGGGATGGAGAAAGGCAGAACTGCTGCTGATCTGGGTGCAAGGATTCCTGGTTGTGATGCTGGTTGTGCTGGTGCTGGTCCATGTGAGGACTCCAAGGGCACGCTATCGCAGAGGACATGAGCAGATAGGGTTTCTTGTGCTGTGCTGGCGTGGTTTCCACGTTGAGATTGGGTTGGGTTAGTTGAGCTAGCTCGCCTAGAAGAAGACTCTCGTCAACCCCAAGGTCGTGGGCTACGGAGGGATTTCAGAAAGGGGATGGTCAGCTTGGCTGCTTGCTTGCCGGGTTCGGTAAGAAAAACTTTTTGGAAGAACCCACGTTGCTGTGGTTGGAATGAGAGGAATGAATGATTTACAAGCCTCTCCGTTGACGGTCAACCCCTACGAGAGATGTTGCCGTTGTGAAAGGGCAGCGACGTCGCCCTGCAACTCTTGTTAGATCCGACGGTTCGTGTGAGCTCACTGAATCTCCAATGATCGAACGGCAGTATGGCTC